GAACAGACACACGATATCAGCAATTCATGTGAGTGAAAAAAGGGTCATAAGCTTAAAGGGAAAGGGAAAAGTGTATGTCATGTTTTTATTGTAAGCATTTCGTAGATCAACAGGATGTTGCAATCACTGCAGTCATCGCTGCAAGCCGACATCGAATGGCAGCAATCTCTCCCGCCAGCTACGCTCACGCTCACATCACACGCTCACACACACACACACACACACACACACACACACACACACACACACACACACACACACACACACACACACACACACACACACACACACACACACACACACACACACACACACACACACACACACACACACACACACACACACACACACACACACACACACACACACATACACTGTGGTTCGTGCTTGCTGTTCAGCTCTCTGATCAGGCTGAGGTTCCTCACGTTGTAGCACACTGCATCAGACGCCTCTCTGTGGATCCCAGCCAGAGGCATCACACTTGGCAGTTGCCGGCGTCGATGGCTTTTTTTTTCTGTTGCTTCCTCTCCCTGCTCCACGCGCGCACACAGAGAGAGGGCGTCGAGTGACCAAAGTTTGAGACTTGACCTCTTTAGTCGATCCGAGAATGTTTCGTGTTCCGGCTCATCAGCACCAATGGGTGCTTGGTGTCGGTGGCGTGCAGCCTGTGCCACCACCTCAGACAGCCACCGCGGCACTGATCGCCTCGCATGTGGAACACGCCCTGCGTTTTGATCTCCTGGTCGCTGCCGTCCGCAGCCTTTTGGTTCAGCAAGGGGCTGCCTTTGACCACATCGTCATCAGCCTCTCTACCGCCCTCGACACGTTCCAAGTTCACCGCTTGCTCACTCAGGCAACCACTGCAACCGCAGTCGGCACCGCCACCATCCCGTTGGCCGTGGCCCCACCCTCCTCGGTTGGGCCAGCTCACCTGCTGCTTCAAGCCCTGCTGCAGGCAGTGCAGTCTGATTTACCGCCCGGCCTTGTCTTGTGCGGATTGCCCCAGCCCCAGCCCCGTCGCCAGTTTCAGCATGTCTGCCTCGCTCTCGAAGGTTTCCTCAAACTGCGCCAAGAGTCGCTGGGCCACATGCCTACCCATGACGCTGTGATCCTCTTTGATGATGACGACCTCGCCCACCCACAACTTCTACAAGTCTACCAAGATTTCTACATCCGCCAAGGCACAGGCTGCATCTTTGCGACCACAGCCCTCACCCGCTCCGACTTGGACGCTCGCATCTCAGCCACACAGCCATCTTCACCACTCAAGCAGACACGGCAGCCCTGCCCATCTACCAGCCCCCTTGTCGCCCTCCTGCCCTCGGAGGCCATCGACCTTGTCATTTGTCAGCGCCTCACCTCCAATGCCATGGAAGACCGTGAAGTGCAACGAAATACCCGCCTCGACTTTTTGGCTCTCGCTGCCGCCTGCAGTGCCGCAGAAGAGCCCGAACTTCAGGACTACTCGGGCTCCCTCCTTGCCGCCGCAACACTAAATCAGTTCCTCGAGGGACACTCACATGTCGGTGCCATTGATCTCGACGGCCGCTTCGTCGACGGCTTCTTTCGCATCGCCATGCAACGTGTCGTCACCTGTGACATTCAATTGGTCTGGCAGCGTCGTTGGCGCCTCCCCTCTGAACTTGCCGCCTGGCAGCAAGGGGTAACCAAAGGACCACAAACGTTTGCCAGCGTGCTGGATCACTATGCACAGCTTGCCGCCCTCTCCTATGATTCCGAAGACGAGGACGAACCTGATCTCAACTTCTCCTTTGCCAGCAATAGCCTCACTGCAGCGGATAGCCTTCCCCTCTCGGACATTGCCCTTGCTACTTCCCACCTCTCCGGACTCGCCATCAACCAACCTTTTCAGTGAACATGGGCAAAAAAAGCCACACGCCTCGTGAATGAGGCGGCAACGCATGAAATGACCAACAAGCACGACAAAACCCATCCTTATTTCGTTCTAGAGATCTGTGACAGACCTAACCTACCTAATTGAATGAATCAATCATCATCTCATCTTTGGGCAGAAAACACACGTTGCTGGGATTGTGTGAAGGCGGGAGACCTTCACCTGCCTTGGATATCTGTTCGCCATCGGTGTGGCTTCCAACAACTAAACTTACCAACACCAGGAAAAAAAACAAAGAACAAACAAAAAACTAACCAACAGACAGTCAATACAGGTTCAGATCCCTTGTCCTGATCTCAAATGTGGAAGACTTGTTCACATCATGGCAGGTTTGGCAAGGTTCCTTAAATTTGTTCGAGATTCGGCTCACATCCCTCCATCAACTGGCCGGGGCGAGTGCGAGTTTGGCAACGCGGCACGCACAATTCTCCGGTTCATCGCAACCAACACACAACCTCTCACTCAAACTGTAGCTTTCATGAATGCTTCTTGGCACGCTTGGCCTGGACAATGCCGTCCACGGACTTGCCACCAAAAGACTTTTGTTTAAATCGCTCGACTTGACGGCGGCGGGTTGCCCGCTTGGCCAGGTTTCGTTTTACCTTGCGCGCCGCAGCCTATGACCAATCGTTAATGCGACGCGGGATCAGAAAACGAGACGCCAAGAGCACTTGATTGAAGACAAGGTCAACAAGCGGCCAAGCACACGAACATACCGCCTGTGGATTGACAATCTGCATTTGGTTCTCGCGGTTTTTGCGCTTCTGCCTCTTGGCGGCCACCTTGGAAATGAACAAACGCATCACAATTCAAGTCACAAACAGCTGTAAGCTCTTGGCAATATGCCAGTCTCCAAACCAATCCTTATCACTCACCGTTTGGCGCGCCTCATCCAGCATGGTGGTCATGTCATAACCGCAAACGTGTTGACAGAGGTCGATCAATTGGCGCACCATCTGGCGCACTTCCTCCGGTGACCCGTCATCATCCATCGTTCTGAGCACAGACCGTAAGACAAGGGACAGGGACCGGGGTTTGAGATGCGCGTACAGCAGCAGAAAAATGCATGTTTATTGGGAGTTCACTCGCTGCTTGGTTGATTTGTTATATGAATAAACGGAAGGAGTGCGACGACTCAAAAACGACGCACCGGAAAAGCAGCTCAGCTGCATGATGCACGGCACCTTGACACAACGCCGGCCATTGCCCGCGCAACCCTGTCAAAAGGGCTCCTAGAAACTTGACAACAGTAGGACGCACACGCTCCGATTCGTGGTGTTGAACCGCCTCTGCAGTAGCATCCAAGGCGCGATCATCCGCGGTCAGTCAATGCCATGGGTGCAGCTGCAGCCCAGCAGTTGCGGTCATGTACGAAAGTCACCACGCACCAGTGCGTCCAAGGTCCAAAATACGGCGCACGATGTGAGCCACAGCCGGCGCCGTCGTGTCATCTTCCTTCTCTGCGTCCTCCTCATCGGATTCTGATGGGTGGCGCTCAAATGCAGGCAATCCATCCTAAACGCCAGCGAGTCCAAACCATCAGAAATTCAGCACCACCGAGAGATACGGAGCCACACAAGACTCGTGGCTTGGTAAACACGGTGAGCAACCCAGACCAACCGCAAAACTCGAGTTGTCTGTGCCCTCGAGTAGCACTTTGAGCAAGAACAACACATTTTTGACAACTTGCTCCCCCAATACGGCATCGAGAAAGCGGGACTTGAGTTGCATCACACAACTCTATAGTCACACATCATCATGGCAACAGCAGAAGAGGTAAACGTGAGTGGCACGGTGTATGTTCTCGGCGTGTGCAGAAGTTTGCAACTTACGTAGGTGAGGTCATACACTTCCATCATCGTGGTGAGACCCAATGCAGATACCGCTTTCTTGTTGTTAGTGCTGGAAGCATCCCCAAGCACTGACGCCGCGACCGCGCCTGACGACACCAGAGCACAATACAAGAAACACATCGTAGATGGCACGCACAATGAGTGTCGAAGACGGCGGGCGACAGTGACTCAAAGCTCTGGTGCAAAGGGGCTCAAGTGATGCATGTACCTGGCGCAAGGTTGGCCAAGAGACCGCCAATGCATTGGGCGCTGGCAAGCCGCACCCAAGCATGACTGTAGCCCAAAAGACTTTTGAGGTGTCGGCCCAGCTCAGCGTTGGACAGAAGCGTCTGCTTGACACTTTCTAAAGAACCTGCTAGCTTGTGAAGGACTGTCAGGCTCAGATAGAGAAGCTGCCAAGTGTCCTGGCCCTGCATGTCATCTGTCTCCTCGTCAGTATCCTATTGAACAGCCATTTTGCATTATTAGATACGGATGGGCAATCCAGCAGTCAATCTGTCGCATAACGGTACCTCATCCACAGCATTGGCAAAGACGGCCATCGCATGCTCGATGACCCGGGGGGCAAAGGTGCGAAAGCGCGTGTCATAAACGTCAATAAGCAGCGATGTCACTTGCCAGCCAGCCACCTGAAGTGCGGGCTTCTAGAGTAGGGCAAGGGGCGGTCAGCTCTGCTTTAGGCCAAACTTTTGGCCAACCATCGCTCACAATTGACTGACCTCGCTCTGAAGCCACAAATTGGCCATCTCGCAGATCTTGTCTTGTTCGGCGTGAGGTAGCCGATCCAGCAAAGCGCGCAGCGCCAGCTGAGCCACCTGGCGCGTGTGCGCCACGTCTACACACGGGGACAATTTAAAAAACAAAAAAACAAAAAATGAAATGGAAAAACGAGCCATATTCAAAAACCAAGTTGCATGATGCCATCTGTCTAGCGACCACGCAGAAGGACCGCAAAATGACCAACCTGAAGAGGCAATTAGCTGCACCAGCGGCAGCAAGAAGGTTTCCTGATATTCGTGAACCATGTTATCAGGAAGGCGTCGGACGACTTCGTGCAGCGTAGTCACCACGCTCAAACGGCCCGTGTCAAACTCGTAATTGAGGTTGGAGGCGAGGAAGCGCAGATGGTGCACCAGGCGCTTCTTTGCCAGCGGATAGTTGAGCAAAAAGGCGACAAATGCTTGACAGGCCAAATTTCGCGAGGCGGTGGATTGCGATTGTACCAAGACGGAGCCAACGCGGTCCATCACCGTGTACACCTCTGGGTGCATCAGCTTACGCGTCACGATGGTGCGCAGCAAGCCAAAGGCCGTCGTCTGACGCTCGACCGTCTCCAGATCCTCGCGAATAAAGGACAAGAGCACCTCTAATTGGTTGTCCGAGAGCTTGGCCGAGTTGACATCGCGCAAAACAACACCCAGAGCTTTGGCACAGCTTTGGACCAGTTCGGTTGAAGCGTTACTCTCGCCCGTGCGATGCATGAGCTTGATCATGCGCGACGTCAGCTTGGGTACCACCTTGGTCATAGACGGCAATGCACCATGCAGAACAATGAAATGGCTCCAGATGCGACACGTCAAGCTGAGAATGCGCGTATGCATGGAAAACAGACAGTCCACGAGCAGAGGGGTGAATGGGTCGAGCATGCCCAGCTGCTCCTCATTGGTGGCGTCCAGCTGGTTGTGGCGGAAGGCGGCCAGAAGCATTTGAAGGCCAAGCGCTACCATCAAGTGGGCATTCGTGTTAAAGTACACCTGCGGGCCTTGAGGGCCGCTGGGCCTCGGTGGGACAATGAAGATGGACTCCGGGCGCAATTGCTTGTCCTTGACCTTGACCGCGCCTTGTTTGCTTAAAGGCAAGTAGCGGCGAACAAGGTAATGGGCCAGCTTAAGCGAGGTCTCAACCGTAAAGGCAGCGTTGTTTTCCAGCCCCCGACCCATGGTGCGCAGGAGCTCGCGTAGCTTGTTGACGATGCGGCTACTCTCGGTGACTGCCATGGCGTTCTCAATGGGCGCAAGGAGCATGATGGTCATACCAGGTGAGATGAACGTGGCCATGACCGCAGCTGTTTCGTAGCAGTTGGATTTTTTGGCCTCCTTGATTCGGTTCGGAATTTCATCCGAATCTTTCTCCTCGCCGGCCAAACCCAGGATGTCGTCCATCACCACTTCCATGACTGGATCCAAGCATGCATCGACGTCGCCGGGCGCAAAACTGGGCTGGAGTGCATGCAGCACCTGGTGAAGCGTGTAAGAGAGGACATGTCGTTGGTAGCCTCGAGTCAGACCATCTTTGAGCTCCTTGACAAGAGCTTGCAGATACGCAGGCCCCAGCATGACCGATACGTCTACAAAGACGCGACGAGCCTCGTCACGCAGGCTGTTGTGGCGATGGCGCAGCATCGCTACCAATTTCAATAGAACGTGGGGGAGCTGAGCCCTCAGCACTTGATCGGGCAAGTTGAGGAAAAGGCGCACCAGAGCACGCGCGACAGGACTGCGAACCAAGTCATGGCCCTCCTCGTCCTTGTAGGCCAGCAACCGGTTCAGCTTGGGAATGAACACGCGCAGCAGGCCCTGCAGGACAGGGTTGCGGCTAGTCAGGCCACCCGTGCGGGTACGATTCGAACGCATCTGGCGACTAGTGTAAATCTCATCATCATCGTCCTGATCTGCCTCATGCGCTTCCGCCGTCGCTTTGGTGGCACCCGTACCAGAAGCCGCAACGTTGCTTTTGGCAGGCGCTTCCACCTCTACCATGGCATCGCTGACATCAAAGTGAAAGGCATCAAGTACTGCAACAGCCACACGAAGCAGTGTCTTGATAAGGTCCGGCTTGCGCGAGGCTTGGTCAATGTAACTGCGGAGCAGCTGCGCATAAGCGGACCAAGGTAAGACACGAGCCATCGCGCCAATGGTGTCCGTGGCCGCCAATACCAAGTTGGACTCTTGAACCTTGGTGGCCTCGAACACGTAGTGCGCGCAGGCAGGCACAAAAAAGCCCGTGAGCATGTCTTGCAAAAAGGCATCAGCCTCGGTGTCCTCGGTGGCTACGTCGTCATCGGCGAGTGATGACTGGTGCTCCTGAAGGTAGGCCTGCAGAGTCGTGAGGGCCTTGATGCGACGAATGCGCTGAATGTGCACCATGTTGGCAAAAAAATCTTGTTCCTCGTCATGGTGACGCAGCGGCTGCAATACGGCAAAGCGCGGCGTGGTTGCAAACATGGAAGAGAGGCGGGCCAACAACTGCAGCGCTTGCTGGCGGGCAGCATCGGAATCGGCGCGCACACCACGCTTCAAGACGCGCAGACATGGCCCCTCGATGAGGACCGGGTAAAATTCGGGGTTGCGCTCAGCTGTGGCACTCAACAGCTCGAAGAGCGTGGCCGCAATGCTGCGCAGCGTAAAGTCATCACTGCAGAGCATGTGGGAAGTGCCTTGCACCAGTAACTGGAGGGCGGGAGCAGAGAGGGTGACGTCTTTGGTCTCGAGACGAGCTCGCAAGCGCTCGAAAGCACTAACGCGGGCTTCGTAGTCTGGAACTTCGCCCGCCGCTGTGCCATCGAGTGCCTGGAGCGCGAGCACATCGGCTGCGACCGGGGCAACGTCGACCATGTCTTCAAATTTGGCGCCGGCCACGATGCACTCAGCAGCCAGAGATCTGAGCTGAGCGCTGTCACTGCGCTCCAGGACCTGTGCCAGAGCAGCCAGGTGTCCATGGGCATGGCCAAAGAGGTCGAATGCGTGCAACGCAAAGCGCAAAATATGCACCTTGCTGGGCACGCGCAAAAGGCGGTCCGGCAGCAAGAGCTGAGACATGAGCAGCCGCGTCAAAGCCACGGCTTGGTCGGCATCAGTCGCAAAGGGGGCCAAGCGGGAGAGGATGGACAAGTCCAGCGGTGCAAATCGTTTGAGTCGCGTCTTCCCAACTGCGGTATTCGAAGCGGAAGGCACGCTTGCGTCTGTGTTTGCCTCTGCTGCATCCTCGTTGTCATCCTCGTCTTCCTCAACCCCGGCCAAGGCCGTATTGCTCGCGACCGCCGCGGTGGTAGGGTCCGTTGACGGTAGCGCCGAGTCACCCGTCTCGTCCATGGTGTCAGCAGGTGCCGAGTCCGCATACTTGTTGAAGATGTAGGCTGCCATGTGGGCTAACAAAGAGCTGACATGATCGGTCATGACGGCCCGCTTTGCAGCAAGTTCACGCATAAACTCTTCCTCCTCAACTTTGACGCCAGCGCGATATTGCTCCACAACGTCGGCTGCTTCGCCATCGCTGTCCGCATCGTTCGCATCAGACTTGGTAACACCGTTCTGTGCATCTGCAGTACGCCTTTCGAAGCGCTTGGCGCGCTTGAGATCGTCGTGTGTGGGCAAGAGGTTGTCAATGACGGTAAGGACAGCGGCAACAGCCGATGGTTTGGCGTGGGGGTGACTCAAGACAGCCCACATGGTCGGCAACACTGCCTGATTATAGGCGGTAAAGAGGTCCACAAGCGTGGGCAGCTCGCTCCAAAGCGTGAAAAGCTCCATCAACGGGCTTGGTCGCTGCAACTGCTCCGCCACAAAAGAATCGAGGTGTGGCGACACGAGGATGCGATCAATATCGCGATCGTAGTCCACAAGAAGCCGGCGCTGAAAAGTCTGGTAGATGAGAACGATACGGCGAAGACCTTCGCGGCGCACACTCTTTAGAACGGCCACATGACGCCGGGCAATCAAGTCGCGCTGGGCCAGGAGGGAATCGGTGGTTCTATGGATGAGGTAGCACACACACACGAAGATAAAGAAAAGGGCGAACAAAGACATACACATGAGCGCGCGAAGCAAGGAAAAACATGAATGTAAGAAGTGTGGGTGGGGAGGGGAGGAGAAAAATGCAGAGGGGTATCAGGTCGCTGGTTGGACTGGCGACTCAACTTCGTCGAGTGACAGACGCGCAGAGATACCGTCAAGAGAATGGGAGCAAACACTCACTGAAGAATGCCGAGGAGCATTTGCATGACATGCGGTAGGAAGGGCGCGAGGTGGGCTCCTAGCACTTGAACCAGATCCGTAACAAAAGCCATAAAGCCGAGCTGTCGCTTCAAAGGAGGGGCACGGGTGACGTCAACGGCACTGTTTTGCGTTGTTGCAGCCTCTGCGGAGAGTACGTTGTCAACGTTGTCTTCGATAGGTCGGGTCACGAGGCGCACAAAGTCAAGTAGCTCCTCCTGGGTCGAGCCTTGCAAGTAGCGCAGCACAAGGCGGCGTTGATCGCGTGGGTTGTACTGCTTGCTGCGGCCGCGGCGGGCAAACATTTTGGCGAGCAAGATACGATGCAGAGTGGCAATGCAGGCATCGCGGTGCTCAGCCTTGAGAACGCCGTCCTGGCTCTCAATGTTGAACTTTTGAAGGATCTCCCGCAGCTTGGCACGGTGTGAGCGAATGACCAGCGTCAACTGTTGGTGGTAAGGCTTGACGTTAACGCGGAAGGACTTGAAAATGTACAAGGCCGTGAGCGCATGCTCCTGCATATCCTCCTCTGGCCGCTGCAGAACCTGCAAGAAAGCATCTTGCAGCTCGGCGCTCATGGGGAGGGCGTCACCACGCTTGAGGACCGCAAACAACTGCAGGAATTGAGTAATGCTCGCAAGAACGACTTTCTTGCGCACCGACATGCAGCGGAACACGCATTGGCGCACGACTGCCTCGACAGGCTTGCCGTGCAGAGCCTCCTTACGCCTAGGCGGAGCATCGGCCGTTGGCTCTTCAGAAGCGTCTCCCTCCTGCTCAGCCTCGGCATCGCCGTCGGGTACTGTCGGAGAATTGGACGCAGCGTCCGTGGCTGTTTGCGCTGGTGGGGCCTTGCTAGACCGTGAGCGTAGGGCCATGGTGTCCAGGTCCTCCAGCAAATCATCCTCCTTCTCATCTGCCTGAGCTGTGTCGAGTTCGTCCTCATCTTCATCCGAAGCGGGCTGCACGGCTTGAATAATGCCTAGGCACGAGGAAACGCAAAAGCAAAAGAGAGCAAGTGGGAATATTGAACATTGAGTGGAAAGCCGAAGGTTGTTCGTGGTGAGCAAGCAAATGATGGCACGTGATGCGAGACGATATTTGATGGGTTTGCAAAGCGCAACATGGCCAACCTGCAAGCGCATCATTTTGGTCGCTGATATCCTGAAAGCGCTGCTCGCCGGCAAACACAGCGTCATACTCAGAGGTAAAAAGTTGGACAAAGTCACTGGCGAGAGGTTCGGCGTGCTGCTGCACCAGCTGCGGCGCCGAGGCCAAGGTCTCCAAGACAAGCTGCTGCAACTTGGTCAAGTCGACACGATCCTCCGTGTGAGCCAGCTGCTCAAGGGTCTGCAAGACAGTCATTGGCAGTTGGCGAAACGAGGCGGGAGAGCTCCCCGGAGTTGGCGCATCCTCCGGCACATGGCCCGTGCGCAAGTGCGCCAAGTTGTTGTGCAGGGCCGGGGCCAAGGCATGCAGCCACTGTCGGCCCAGAAGGGCTAGAGCAAGGCCTTCCAGCGCCACACTGTGCTCCAAGTGTGAAGCAAAAGCCTTGGTATTAACGCCGTTGGCCTGGCCATAAACATCGACACCGCGCTTGAGTAGGGATAGACTTTGTGTTGTGACGGTGCGCGTCAAAACAGCGACGGCTTGCTGCTGGTCACGGGCCACACGCCAGAAAAGCTCGGGCGCGAGTCCGGCCTGAACCTGCAGAGCAGCCTTGGCATCAGCCCAAAGCAGGCTGAAATTCACTCGATATTGGCCGAAAAGGTAGTGCAACACGGCAAGGTGGACGGGCTCAGGAAGCTCGCGCGCTTGCTCAGCCAGACGGCCCAAGACCACGCGGCGCTCACGATGACGCTTGACATCAGCTGGAATGCTTTCGACCTCGAGGCAACGCTCAAGAATCAAGCAAGGTTCTACAGCAGCATGGACCCGGCAGGTGGGCGGTGTGGTTTTGGGGTTGAAGTGAGCATACAATCGTAGGCCGCAGGGAGGGAGCAGGAAGCAGGGACAAAGTGGTGCAATCAACAAATCGCACGCACGCACGCATGCCAAGCCACATGCCAAACCACGTTGGCCAGGCAAAACCAGAACCAAAACCAACAGCAAAACAACAACTGAGCAGTAGGGGCAAGCCAACCTTTCGTCTCCTTGTTGGGCCACTGAGGCTGTTCAAAGTGACCAAAGATGCGGAGCAGCAGCAATCGTTGTTTGCCAAGCGAGTGTGACAAGAACTTTTGCGTTCGACCCAGCAGACGAAACAGGCGCTCGGTCGACAGCAATCCCGGGTGGGTGGCTTGGATGTCACCCAAGATGATCTCAGCAGCCTGGAGAAGGGCTTCAGACGCGCCATGTCGGCCCAACAGTTGAAGCAACCAGTCCACGAGAGCCTCGTCCGGAGCCTCACGCGCGCCACCACGCCACCACAGGAGAAGCGCTGCGGCAAGACAGGCGTAACCTTCAACTTGCATGGCCGGGCCATCCAAAAGATCTACGACGCCAGATCCACTGGCTTGACGAGAGGCTTGCGTCGACGGGGCACCTAAATGACGAGCCAAAATCTTGCAGACCGTATCCAGCTGGGCTCGGCGATTCTCAGAGAGCGGGGCTTTGGCATCGTCGTTATGATCATGGGCTTGTGCCAGGACGCGAAGGCAGATCCAAAGATCCCCAATTTGCGCATCGCGCTCGTGAATGAGGTCGGGCTGTTGTTGTAGGGCAGCAGCGGCACGAAGCAACAGTGTGAAGCAGGCTTCTTCGGCCTTGGGGGCAAGGCGAAGGTCAAGGGAAAGATCATGGCCCTCGCAAATGTGCCCCAAGAGGGTCAAAAAGGTGATGGGTTGTCGGGCGTTGGCTGCAATGAGGCCACCACAAAAGTCAGCCACGGGCTGCTTTACCAGAGCCAGCGCGGCGCGACTGTGCCAGAGACCCTCGACCCAGTCCAGAATAAACTCGGCTTCGAGCATGGGACGGTCGTGTTGCAACAGGACCGGTGCTGTCTGCTGCCACAGTTCGAGCTCGGCCATTTCACGGGGGTGGCAGAGCGTGAGGCCTTGAAGCAGGTGCAGCGCGGCACGAAGCTGGAGAGTGGAGGTGCGTGTTTCGAGCAGGTCCATGACCAGGCGCGCTAGTGCCGTGACTGTGACCACGGTTGAGCGAGCATTGGCATGTACACACGTGCGCAGCACGTCACACAGCCTGAATGGGGAATGCAAGAGATGGCACGGGATGGTGAGCCGTGTTGATACAGTTCTGGAACAAAAGGCGAGAGGTAGACGGCCGTTTCTGCGGATGCGGCCTTGGCCAGACTGAGGGGAGTGTGAATGAGCGGTACATACCGAAAGAGGTGAAAGGCCAATTGGCGTGAGGTGGGCTTGTTGGCCAATTGTTGGCGCAAGGTGGCCGCTCGGCCCAGCACCAATTGCGAAAGGTTGCGCCAGACATCAGCGGAGACGTGTTTGAGTATACCCTGGAAACAGGCACGCAAGGCGGTGACGACGTGGGCCTGCAGCGGCTCGTTGCCATGGGCGGAAGTCGTGTAGGTCCCCAGCAGCTGAAGGCAAGCGCCAAGCAGAGCGTGGGCAGAGGAGTGGAGCTGCTGCCGAACGCTCTTGACGGCCTAAAGCAGGATATGGATCGAGCAAATCTTGGGGAATGAGCACGGGGCTGACAGACAGATTAAGTAGCCAAGCACAATTAATTATTATGTGCGGGCGACCAGGCAGCGCAGCGCGACAATCTGCACTGTACGCACCTCAAAGAGTGTGAGACCAACACCCTCAGCCAGTTGAGCATCGTCTTGGAGGTACACATGCTGAAACACGACCTTGAGATGATCTGGGAAACGCTCAGGGCCGACCTTGCGGAGCAGAAAGGCATAGGACTCGGCAGCAAACTGGCGAAGAAAGGGACGACTGTCAGCGCCGAGCAGCCGATGGTAGTAGGTCTGGAAAAAGTAGTCGAGGTCCTTGACAATGTACGCTCGAAGAAACTTGAAGAGAAAGCTCAGGGTGGTAAAGGCGTGCTTGACCAAGTTGCTTTCCAAATCCTCGCGGGAGCTTGGGTTGAGGAGTTGGAGCATCGTCTCGAAGACGCGGTCAAAATGTTGATAAAACTCATCGCGTAGGTCACGGGCGAGTTGAACGGTCAAATCCAGCAGCGCGTCCAGGGCACGGCTTTTGGGCACGGTCAGGTGATGCAAGAGAGCATCGATAAGCTTGCCTTGGTGGTGCACGAGCAGCGGGAGGCTGCCGCTGAGGCCACGCACATCCCGGGTGAAGCTCTCAAAGTGGGAGGTGAGATTGAGTTCGCGCCATTTGTCCAGGGCTTCATCGAAAAAGGTGGTTGTATCCTGCGACAAGGACAGAGACAAGTTTACGGGCAGGGGCGGGGCAGGGTCAGATTCAAAGCTGGCAATGTGCGTCAAAGCCCCCCGGCAGCTGAAGGGGCCTCGGCAAAGCGAGCTGGACAAGCTGAGAGCGGAGGCTCACCTCTGTAACTTCCTCAAAGACCTGATGTAAGGGGCGGATGGCCTCGTTTTGAATGCGCTTGAGCTGGTCAGCGAAGGAGAGGAAGCGATGACGGTTCTTGCCCTCCTCATTGAGGACCTGGAACTTGGCCGCCATGTTCCTGATCCGGGCTCAGAGCTCTTGAATTCCTGCTCCTTTGCGCGTGTGCGCGCACCTCGGGGCGTCGATAGCGGGCGCACCACCACCGCCGGCCGGCAGCTTGATGATGCCTCCCCCCCCGAAACAAATGGTTTGCTAGCTAATCCAAGGTGCCAGGACGATGCAAACACGTCCAGAATAACGTGCGCGCGCCGCAATACCACACGGCACGACACGACGCGACACACGAGAGAGAGAGAGAGAGAGAGAGAGAGAGAGAGAGAGAGATAGAGAGAGAGAGAGAGAGAGAGAGAGAGAGAGAGAAAACTGTTTTCGAGTTTTTTTTAAGAGAGAGAGAACACGCGCTCGTGTGTGTTGGCGCGAGCACGAGGTCGTTGACCTGGCTGTGGGCTAGAACAATATCTCTGGGTAAAGTGCGTGAGATGCAAAATTCTCTGCTTTAGTGCTTATTTTTGCATTGTTGGTTGCCCTTCCCTCCACCAACTTCTCTGGATCTGTCAGCTGGCCAACGTGCATCTCTACCTCTGCATCCAGCCTTGATGTCAGACAATTGAGATCTGGCTTAAAGTCCGAGGAACATATTCAATTATAGACATTATCAAGACAAAAAAGAGAGTAGTTTTACAAAATAAAGCATCCAACGCAAGAATGTCATCAATTTATTCATCTGACATCCGGATTGCATCATGATCAGCGTTGCAGCAGTCCAACGAACAAAAGAGCGCCGTGACGCCGAAACGGCAGCCAGTCTCGGGTCAGTCATGGTGACGGGCTCGCGTCGGGGCAACGTGCGGCGTCCGTGTCCTGTATCGAGTATTGTAACAGAAGACCCTGTCTGTGGCATGATCCATGACAGCAGCCGCCTGGAATTGGCTGGCAGTGACCGGACTCTGCTCGAAGTGTCTGGCACCTTCTGCTTGTCAAACACCCTGACACTGCGTGTGGGCGAGGCGCAATCTAGTTGCACACCGAACCTTCCATAACCCAAGACTCCACAAAGCCCCGACGATGGAAGAAAGGCTCATCACCATCCTCCTCCTTCACCAGACGCTTATCACACCACCACACCACTCATCACAGTCTCTGCTCCAACGGGCGTTCCATCCAGTGGCGCTCTGAAGTGGGACGTTGAGGTCGGGCAGTGGCATTTTTTTTTCAACTCAGCTCAGCTGACGACAAACTTACAAGTGCCTAGCGCATTATCATACGGTTAACCCCGTTCATTCCTTCAACGCCCGACTATTTTATATAGACCCTGCTGCCGAGCAGCATTCCCCCCCCCCCCGACTTGCACGCAAACCGGATTGATTATTAGTATCTAGTACCATCGCCATGGCCATCAACCCCAACGAGTTTACCGACAAGGTCAACAAGACCCTGTTCGAGGCCCAGAACTTTGCCATTCAAGAGGGCCACTCCCAGGTGGAGCCCGCCCATGTGGCCGTCATCCTCTTTGAAGACCCCGAGGGCATGGCCAAGCGCGTTGTCCAGCGTGCCGGTGCCGCCCTGCAGCCCGTGCAAGCTGCCCTTCGCAGCCTGCTGCAGCGCATGCCCCGACAGGAACCCGCCCCACTGGAGGCCAGCCTGAGCAGTGACACCCGTCGCCTGCTTCAGTCGGCCGCCAAGCTGCAGAAGAAGAACAACGAGGCCCATCTGGCCGTCGATCATCTCCTTGGTGCTCTTGTCCAGGACAAGCAGATCCTGGCCAAGCTGGCTGAATCCGGCTTGGCCAAGAACCATTTTGAAGAGACCCTCAAGCGCGTCAAGGGCACCACCACTGCCGATAGCAAGAGCGCCGAGGAAAACTACGACGCCTTGAGCAAGTACGGTGTAGACCTGGTTCAGCAAGCCGCGGACGGCAAGCTTGACCCCGTGCTGGGTCGCGACGAGGAAATTCGCCGTGTCATCCAGATTCTGGCCCGCCGCATCAAGTCCAATCCCTGCCTTGTCGGTCCTCCTGGTATGTGTGTGTGAATGCTCGTCCGTCGGTCGTCTCTGTACACGCCCTGCCCATCTGTGTTTTGTCTCGGGCGCGTTGACCTCACCACCTTGTTACTTTTTGTGCTGCGCCTGGCTTGTGTGTAGGTGTGGGCAAGAGTGCCATTGTAGAAGGCTTGGCCCAACGCATCATGCTGGGCGATGTCCCTGAAACGCTCAAGGGCAAGCTCATCAGCCTGGACATGGGCGCCCTCATCGCCGGTGCCAAGTACCGCGGCGAGTTTGAAGAACGCCTCAAAGCCGTGCTCGAGGAAATCAAGCAATCTGAAGGCCGTATCATCCTCTTTGTCGACGAGGTGCACAATGTGCTCGGCGCTGGCAAGACCGAGGGTTCGATGGATGCTGCCAACTTGCTCAAGCCCTTGCTTGCACGCGGCGAGCTCCGCATGATTGGTGCAACCACCGAGGACGAGTACCGCAAGTACGTCGAGAAGGACTCGGCCTTTGAGCGCCGCTTCCAGGTTGTCCAGGTTCGCGAGCCCTCGGTGCCGGACACCGTCTCCATTCTGCGTGGCCTCAAGGAGCGCTATGAGGCCCACCACGGCGTCCGCATCGCCGACGCCGCCCTGGTGGCTGCTGCCCAGCTCTCCCACCGCTACATTCAGGGCCGTTTCCTGCCCGACAAGGCCATTGACCTGATTGATGAGGCCTGTGCCAACGCGCGCGTCCAGCTGGACTCGCGCCCCGAGGAGATCGACCAGCTCGAGCGACGCCGCCTGCAGTTGCAGGTCGAGGCCACCGCCCTGGAGAAGGAGAAGGACCAGGCTTCCAAGTTGCGTCTCAAGGACGTGCGCAAGGAGTTGGCCAATATCGAAGAACAGCTGCAGCCCCTGCTGATGAAGTTTGAGATGGAGCGCGGTCGTGTCGACGAGCTGCGTGATCTACAGGAAAAGCTCGACTCGCTGCGCAGCAAGGCCCAACGCGCCGAGCGTCAAGGCGACCTGGCAACGGCTGCAGACCTCAAGTACTACGCCATCCCCGATTGCGAGCGCCGCATCCAGCAGCTGACGCTCGAGGACGAGGAGCGCTCCGCCCAACGCTCCGGCATGGACGAGCAGGAAGATGCCCCCATGCTCAGCGAGGAGGTGGGCCCGGAGCAGATTACGGACATTATTGCGCGGTGGACCGGCATCCCCGTGACCAAGCTCAACCAGAGCCAACGTGAGCGCCTGCTGGCATTGGCCGAGCGCATCAAGTCACGCGTCATTGGTCAGGACCACGCCGTGGACGCGGTCGCCGAGGCCGTCTTGCGCTCTCGCGCCGGCCTGTCCCGCCCCTCTCAACCCACGGGCAGCTTCCTCTTCCTGGGTACCACGGGCGTGGGCAAGACCGAGTTGGCCAAGGCACTGGCCGCCGAGCTCTTTGACGACGACAAGCACATTGTTCGCATCGACATGTCCGAGTATATGGAGTCACATGCCGTGTCCCGCCTCATTGGCTCGCCCCCAGGTTACGTGGGCTACGAGCAAGGTGGTCAATTGACCGAGGCCGTGCGTCGCCGACCCTACAACGTGGTCTTGTTTGACGAGGTCGAGAAGGCCCACCCCCAAGTCCTCAACGTGCTGCTGCAGGTCCTCGACGACGGTGTCTTGACAGACGGCCAGGGCCGCCACGTGGACTTTACCAACACGGTCATTGTGCTGACGTCAAACATCGGTGCTCACGACCTCTTGAACGCGGACGTTGTCAACGGCGCCATTGACCCCGAGACGGAGGCCAAGGTGCGGCGCCAGGTGCAGCAGCATTTCCGACCCGAGTTTCTCAACCGCCTGGACGAGGTTGTCATGTTCAAGCCCCTGGGTCAACGCGACCTGCGCAAGATTTGCCGCAACATGGTCGACCTGATCAACCAGCGCCTGGTGGACCGCGACATTGCTCTGCTCGTGTCGGACGATGCCTGCGACTTGGTCCTGGACGAGGCCTACAACCCTGCCTATGGTGCGCGCCCTGTGCGCCGCTACGTGGAGAAGCACATGGTCACGGAGATTTCCCGCCTGGTTTTGTCTGGCGAGCTGGTCAATCACAGCACCGTCCACATTGACACGACCAAGCGCCCCGACGGCGGTCGCGACCTATCCTACCAAGTTCACCACAGCAAGCGGCCCAAGATCTCCGAAGACTCGGCCTAGAGTGTGAACAGCCAATGTTATGTGTATAATGTTATGTGTATAGTGTAGTAGGAGATGATAGAGATCGCCGTGCGATGCTGTGATAGTTCAGTGTTTTGCCTGTGCTGTGCCTGTCTTAACGTGTATGTGTGTGCGTATGTGTATGTGTATGTGTGTGTCTTGGAAGCGTTGTGCGCGCTTCCAATTGAAGCCTTGGTGTCATCAGAACTCCCTTTTCCCTCGGTCCAACACAAGAACATCACACACACAACGACGCCTTCCCTCCGCGCGCCACCATAGGAACTAAAACGTTTCAATACGCGCAAGGTCTTCTTGTGAGAAGCTGTGCCAAAAGTTACCACGATGTTCTTGAAAGTAACATGGTTCACATTAGAGAACAAAAGGAAAAGGGTTGTGTGTTCGTGTTTACTGCAACTTGTTGTAAACTTGAACACGTTCAATTATCGTGTTGTGTTGGAGTGAACTGCCACGCTGACGCCATTTATAGTGTCAGAGAGACAGAGTGGGATGCAATGGGAGACAAGAGGTACGCTTCTTCCGCAACAATCACACAACGTAAAAACAAAAGATAATCCAGAGAATCTTGCCACACTCTACAAACCTTCAGAGAATGAGCCGAGAAAGAGCCGGAACGAAACCCAAGAGGCAAAAGAAAACCAGTGAACCAACCACACAACATTACTACTCAAAAGCATTTTCCCGCTTGCTCACCACAACAGCAACAAAAGGTAACGGATGGATGTGTGTGTGTGTGTGTGTGTGTGTGTGTGTGTGTAGCAGCATGGTACTAGTCGCTACCAAATGTCATCGGTGGAGACGGGCTGCCTGCTGCTCGGTGTGTGTGTGTGTACACGTACACACTGCACGGCACGACACTGATTGCATTCGAGGCGCGCTCTCAAAGGACAGGGGATCGAAGGTCAAAGGGCAGCGCGGGAAGCAGGTCAAGGCGTTGTGGGGGCTGCGATCGCATTGGATTGGTGTTGGAAGGAAGGTGTTTTGATTGTTCTTGTCTTGATGGGGGCAGCTGGGAGGGGGAAGGGACTTGTGTGCAATGCCGGTGATTGAGCAGAGGCAATCGGCGTCCGCGCCCGCCACTGCGTTGAGAAGCGTTGGTGGTCAACAGCGTGCCCCGTGACCACCACGGGTTGGCTGCGCTGTTGTTGATCCTTGACGCTTCACACAATCGCGCCACTGTCCACTCGCTACTGACTAGCTGCCAACCCGCCCCTCCCCACCCTTCTTGTGCTTCGCCTGGTGTCAGCAATCTTGGCTTTCTCCCCAAGTTTGATCGGACTAGACTCACCGTGCCCGATGCCCACTCTTGGTGGCTGTAGACCTTCCAAAATGGCTGATACTCTCCCCAACCAGCGCCAGGGCCGTCGTGGACGTGGTCGTGGTCGCGGCCGTGGCCGTGGCCGTGGACGCGGCCGTGGTGCTCGTAAGTCCTTTGCAACTCTCTCCGGCTCTTTCGGAGCCGAACCCCAAGCCCCATCGCACCTTGCTGTTGTGTGCCTACCTCCCGTTATGCAGGGGGTCTCTTTCCGAGCCGCCCTCTTGTGTCTGAACTTTCTCTCGCCTTGCCTTTGTATTGCACTGCCCTTTTTTTATTTTATGTTTTTTTTTTTTTGAAGCTCATCCCCACTTGTGTACTGTCCTCGGCTTGTGCAACGGATGAAATTTGCACACAGGCGGTGCGCCCATCCTGAGCGACACCTGCATCGTCATCATCGGTCTCCCCTCCCAGACCGACCAGCAGTACGTCGAGCAGCACTTTGGCAGCGCTGGCCCCATCGAGTCGGTCGACGTTCGTGAGCGCGAGTACGTAAAAAAAAAAACCGCACCCGCGCTTTTCTGTGGCATACGGCACCTGCCTTTGTGCTCTCGCAAGGGGGAGTGCCTGGGGCCTAAAGCTCTCTGCGCTTCATCTGCCGCCGCTTAGCAGTTCAAGGCTATGGCGTGTACTGTTGTAAGCGCCCCCTCACCCTTGCCTACTCTTTGTTCTTAATTTTTTTTCTATCCTTTTTTTTCTTTTTAGGATCGATGGCGAGGTCCGCAAGACTTTCTTCGTCAACTACCAGACGGAGGAGGGTGCCGAGGCCGCCCTCAAGTTCAACAATGCTGCTGTTGGCGGTGGTGAAAAGACCATCCGCGTTGAGAAGCGTCGCGTTGGCTTTGAGGAGCCCGACCCCAAGCAGGTCTTTGTCGGTGGTCTGGACGAGAACATCTCGGTGGACCGCGTTAAGGCACTCGTTGCCGAGCACGCCACCGTCACCGCTGCCGAGAAGAGCCGCAACGACCAGTTTGCTCTCATCACCGTCGCCACGGAGGATGAGGCCATCAAGGTCAGCGAGACCCTGAATGGCCAGGAGTTTGAGGGCTACACCCTCTCCGTCAAGTCCACCGCTGGTGCTCCCGCTCGCGCCGCCGCCGCCGCCCCGGCTGCCGCTGCCGAGGCCCCCGCCGCCGCGGGCAAGCGTGTCGTCATCCTCGGCTGGGCTGACAAGATTGAGGCTGACATCCGCGCCAAGTTCCCCGGTGTCAAGCGCTGCGTCGTCCGTGCCGTGGCCCAGGTCACCTTTGAGGACGTGGACCAGGCTAACGAGGCCCTGGCGCAGGATGGCCAGGCTCTCTTTGGCCTCGAGGCTGTTCGCATCGAGAAGCCCAACCGAAAGTAAATCTTCCCAACCCCCAAAGGTCTTCCAAGGGTGCGCTCGTGTTCTGACCATGTCAAAACATCACCACCTCTTTGACGACTCCTCTTGAGGTGTCTTGAAGACTTTCAATGAAAAAATTGCTTGTACTGAAAATTGTCAACCCCAAAAACTCCTTTACCCCTCTCAACTTGAGCGCTGGCCACTTCGCCATAAAGAAGCATGATAATGATGATGATTCTTTCGGTCGAACAAACGAGTAAATTTAAATGGCCGTTTTTGCCCAGAATAGAATGAGCTTTTTGACCCCTTGAGAATGGATTCTGAGGGGGTCGGCAAAAACACAAGAATGAGTTTTCGAAAAATTTCAATTTCTGCTTCCGAATGAGAAAATGATCGCATTTGCAAGGGAAAAAACCAGCACCATGAAAAGTGGCGCTAGTTTTTTTTTGGGAATAAGAAATCGAATTTGGAATCAGTTTGACATCACTCAAAACGCAGAAACGCATTCTCATTCTTGGGTTGGCAAAAACGGCCAAAAAAAAAAGGGAGAGAGAGAGAAGGGTGCCAAGGGCTGGATTGTAACTAGAAGTGTCGGTCGGGATATCCCTCAGCGCTGGGTGTCAGGTAACCGTCTTAAGGTCGAGCAAACAGGTTGTTGAAGCGTTCGACAACCTCATCCAGCTTGAATTCAGTTGGTCTGCAAAATGCCAACCAGTCGGTTGTGAGGAACCAGATTGACGGGCGTCAGAATGTCCCTTGCGTGTGGCGCCTGCATACCGGTGGTTGAGGGTGCGCACGAGGTCGTGACAATTGTTCGTGTCAACCTCTTCAGGCGTGGCATAATAGATGGAGAATTGGTTGACCAGCAACTGGGCCTCCTGAGCGGTCTGCCACACGAACCCCAAGAGCATCCATCACCACACACCAGAGAGACCCATTAGCGGCAGCAATGGTGGGTGGGTGCCTTCTTTTCCTTGAAAAAAAAACAAAAAAAAAAAACCAGGATTGATCCATCACGAAAGTGGGTTGCCAAGGGGTTGGGAGGCTCGTACCAGGGCATCCTTGTCGTATTCGCCGCGCAAAAGAACAATGCCTTTGCTGCGTTTCAGCTCAGTGTAATAGTTGAGTGATAGGAGCGAGCGGGTGCTGTCGCCGTGCAGCTGGGCAGCGGGGCGGGGTAGAAAAGCCGGGGCCGGTCATGAGCATTTGTCAGCAAGTAGTAAGTCGGAGAAGGCGCGTGCGGTACGCAGATTCCGTACTTGGAATTCGCCGAGACTGGCAAAGCCACATTGATGCTTCTTAATCTCCGACACGAAGACTTCGAATCCCGTGGAGCGTGGGATCAAATGAAGAAATTGAGGGGATTCCTAATATTCAGAGACAAACACACATGCCCGTCCAGGGGTTCTGATTGAGAGAAGAGCGGTGCCCATGGGCGTCCGGGCAGCCCAAGATGCCAGTGTAGTCCTTACCCGACCGCGGCGAAACACCAAGTCGTAGGTGTGGTCAGGCACCGCAGCCCCAATGACACCCTCCTAGATGATGGTTGCACGTCAGGTGTAAGCAACCTAGCGAATTTTGTCGCGTTGCAGGGCGTTCAAGAGGGCGCAGGGCAAACGCAAAAGAGAAGCAAGGTGAACAACGCTGCTCACCTGGCTTCCGAGGACTTCCTGCCAGAGGAGGGCAATGTCGGCCGTCGAAACGTCAGCGAGCTTGTCCACAGGCAGAAGTTCAGCCAGCGGCGTGACCGAGGGTGGCAGCTCCGAGGCATCAACGTGGGCCAAACTACTGTGGGCCTGAACAAATTGAGCGGAAGATGATTGATCAGATTTGCAAAAGGCCAAGTCTGTTGTTCTGGTGTGGGGTGGATCCTCGAGGCCAGTGGTGGAGGGTGCTCACGTGTCGCAGCGCTTCCTTGGCCTTGATGGCTTGCTTGGCGTGTTCGGCGTGGGCCAATGGGGTCTCGGGGATCTCCTTGAGCTCAATTTCATTGGTGTCCGTGTTTGAGATTTGACTGGGCAATCATCAAAGGGTAAGCAAGACCAAGAATAAAAAACGGGAGGCGCGCTCGCCGGTTGAAGGTGCACGTGTGCGCCTGCGCCGTGCACGTACTCAGCAACGGTGGCATCGACTTTCTGACGATACTTGGCATAAAAGGGGTTTTCCGCCAGCTCTGAGCCACACGGAAGAGATAAATCAGCCACAGGACCAGCCACAGATGGGGTTCACAAGCAAGGGGATGAGGTGGTCAGGCGGTCCGACATGCTGCGCGTTGAGCGCCGAACGCTGCTGCACATACCCGATTTGAGCTCGTCCACGTTTTTCGTGCGGCTCGCCGAGGCGGCAGCGAAGCGAGCATGTGACACACTAGCCACACCCACTCCACCCCGTCGCACTCGCAACCATCGTGGTACACTCCCCCACGCCCCGCGCCACACTGCCATTCGACTCGTCGCCGCCATAGTACAAGCCACAACCATATTGTGAGCGTGACTGAGAGAGAGAGAAAGAGAGAGAGAAAGAGAGAGAGAAGAGAGAGAGAGAAAGGTAGAAACAGCAAAGACACAAAAGCACAACTACCACATGAAAGGTGAGAGAGAGAGAAAGAGAGAGAAGAGTGGGTGGTTTGTCATCATTTTTGTCTTTGTCATCATTTTTACTCTCTCTCTCTCTCTGTCTCTCTCGCTCGGTTTGAACGGCATCAAGTGTGACAAAGGGTACAGTTACACTATATCAAAGTGTGATTGTTGACGCATTATCGCAGTGACCTTTGGGATGGCGACGGCGCGCGTGGTCGGTGCTGGTTGGAAGAACCTGATGCGGTTGCCCCGACAGGCATCGCTCGGGGCGGTGGCGACCACGGTGAAGCAGTGTGCAGGGGGGGTTCGGCCCGCACGCATGGCTGTGACAGGTGCGTGAAAAACGAGGCGGTTTTGCTGTCTTTTTGAGCGGTTTTCTTTTCGTTCTGTTGCATTCGTTCTCCCCGTGCGCCCCGTGCCGCGAAGACACAAAACTTTTTTTTTTTTTTTTCCTTCGCGGGGTGGCTCAAGCGACGACCTCGGTGTTGCAGGCTGGACGCGCTCACTGGCAAGCAGCCAAAACCTGGCCGTGCAGCAATCTGATGCAGGTATGCAGCAAGGTCGTGGGGAATCGTCGCCTTGCCTGCCTTTGCCGATTTCACCCTCACTGGGCTTGCGGTCCTTGCTTGGTGTTGCTTGGTGGTGGCCGTGCAAAAAGGACGCGAGGACCTCATGGAGGACCTCAATCTGCACGAGCTCAAGCGAAGCGATGGCCATGCGGCCCCCGTTGATGAGTTCCAGCCCCCAGAGCTTGATACCCAGCAGGAAGCTGCCTTGCCCGACTTTGAGAGTCCCGAAGAGTTTTTGCTGTATTATAAGGACGCTGTGGCGCGCACCGAGGCCCCCCAAGAGGTGGCTGAGCTCTTTACCCTGAAATACGCCAGCCAGGAAGAAAAGACCCTGCATGCCAAGCGCGAGGTTGGGCCGTGCTTCTTTCTGGCCTCCTGCTTGCCCTTTTGCCGAGATGCGGCTAATGCGTACACTCACGCTCGGCTCAACGTCATACTTAGGCCATCACCAAATATCAACGCTTTGAAGGTGATACGGGCTCACCAGAGGCACAAGGTGAGCCACACAAGGAGGAAGCGGCAATGCCACTTGCTTGCACAGCAAAGTTGGCGTTTCATCCAATCATGCACAGACCCGTTGACCGGCAGACAGACAAGACTAATGGACAGACAAGCAGACAGACAGACACACACACACACACACACACACACACACACACACACACACACACACACACACACACACACACACACACAGACAATGCTACTGAATGCAAGAACATGATATCAAAGGCCCAATCACATCTGCCCCTTCTCACCTTTGCTCTGGACAACCCGTAGTCGCGGGCCTCACCGTTCGTATTCAGAACTTGCTCCGCCATATGCGCACGCACAAAAAGGACGTGCATTCGCGGTATGGTTCCTCGTCAGCTCGCGTCAGCTCACTGGTCCCTGCCCACGCACTCTCACCTGCTCGCCGCCTCGCGTTTTGCCACGTGCATGGGTCAAACCTGGTTCCAGGCGTGGTCTCATTGCCATGGTGCAGAAGCGAAGGAAACTGCTGTTGTACCTGAAGCGCAAAAACTTTTCCGGATATGTGCACATGATCACAGAACTGGGTATCCGTCCCATCAAGTAAACTACAGTGTTAATGAATCGAATTGTTTTCCAAAACCCTGGACGCAACTACGCGCTGTCCTCTTCCACCTGCCAGCAAAACGGCCACGTCCAGGGCTTTGCCAATCTGGGTCCACAACGGCTGCCGTGGAGTTTGAAATGCAGCGTCCTTCTTTCAGCCTAAAAACCAACCTGCTTACTATGATGGGTGAAGCCAAAAGTATCGCAATCAAAGAATCAATCACTCAATTGGAAACACGGGAAAAACATCAAGGTCAAGGAAAGGCAAATCATGGGTGCATGCAGCATGCATCGAGGGAGTTATCCAGCTCCATCCCACACTCGCCTAACCCAACCCTTGCGGACGCGGTCCGTAGCCTCCCAAGCTTGGGCTTTGACCGACATGACAATCGATCAACACACCCAGCCTCTAGTCACCAGTCACATATGAACATGCTTCCAAGCCGCAAATGGCGGATAAAAAAGAAAGCCGTACAAACAACATGAAGAGCGCGCTTATCGCACCAACAGAACATCAGGCAACGCAAGCAGACAGCGGGCTGCCAGGCTCGAGAACAAGAGAAAAATTAAAAAAAAAAAATAAAGAATAAAAAGCAGTAAAAAGCAGTAAAAAAGTTGATATCACCAAGCAGCATTAGCAGGCTCGCCCGGGTGGAGCTCAAGGATTGGAAGATGAGATGCGTGTAACACGCGAGCTCATGGTCCCTGTCGACGAGGTGGCGTGTGTGGCTGGAATGTTGACCACAGCCTATAGGGATATGTAAACAGAATGTAAGCAGGTATGACGTGAGCATCACACAAACACGCAAGCAATGGCCTGGGATCTGAAGCCCCAAACTTACCACGGTGGCTTTGGTGGCAGCCCGCAAGCTGCTCTTAATGTCATGGTGCGATGAATGTGCCACAACTTGATCGTCAATCCGCAAAAATACGTCTCCAAACTGTCCAGAAACAACAACGACGACGACGACAACAACAACAACAACAACGACGTGTAAGTGATGGCTGTGCTGCTCCTGCTCAAATCAAGAAAACTGCCAATAAGAACCAAGGGTCGGGCAAGGCATCTTTGTACCTTGAGTCCTCCACAATCGGCGGGAGAGCCTGGATCCACGCCAGCAACCATGGTGCCGAGTTCGCCGGCCACGGTCCGCAATGTGATGCCCCACGATTCGCCGCGACGACGCTCAATAACCACGGTCCGTTGCACGCGTTGTTCATTCAGCGCGAAACGCATGAGGTCCGCGCGACGTTCCGAAGCCAGTTGTGAACGCGCAAAGCGGCCTCCAGCTTTTTTGATGGTGGGGCGGATCGTGCTGGCGGGCGATACCGGTGTCAACGTGGCCGTGGGACTGGCCGAGGATTGCGAGTCGGTTTCCATCGGTTCGGGCAGCGGTGGGGCCTCGCCTGCCTACTCAGCAAAGGTGAATGCAAAGTGTGAGGGTGAGCGTGCAGGTCAACCTGATGGGACTGGCCAGCATTGTCATACCTCAAAGTCAGGACTACAGGGAATAAAAGCATCCAGGTGATCTGGAAAATGTACGACGGCGGCATTGAGGATGGCCACAGTCGACACGAGTGACACGGCGCCTAAACAGGAAGGAGACAAATTTCAAGAGGAATAAAAACAGCGGATCATGCCGTCAGAATGAGTGGGTTGTTTAAGAAAAGGCCTGGGTTGCGGCCTGGCCTGCGAGAATCGTGCATGTGGAGCGACAAAACATCCAACCGTCAATGGGAATGTCCTCAATCATCCAGGAGAGGTCATCAGCCATGGCGAGGTGGTACACGTGAATCGCGTTGTCTGCGGAAACAGTAAGCGCAAACTGGCGATCACGAGGAAGAGCGCGCACCACAAAGGTGCCTGGGGCAGTGCCCGCGAGCAGAGTTGCAGCTTGACCCTCGGAAATGTTCTCGTGCAGCCAGAGCGGGGCAGCCGAGCGACCCACGCCTGGGAGGATGGGCACGTTGATGGGGCAGCCTAGGTCAAAGTCTTGCTCACAGGCATACTGGGCCAGGGCCTGGTAAGCTTGGTGGAGGCTTTTTACTGTTGGTCGCATGTCCGCAAAGCCTGGCCACTAAAAAGCCGCCGCCGCAGCAGCAGTAGGGCAACAGTAGCGACATCAGAGCAATTGGAGTGACGAGGTGAAGCGACAAATGGCCGAGGTGGGAAGCCGGAGCATCGTTCTTGTCGGCAAACAAACCTCGGCAGCCATGACTGATCCCATGTCAAACTGGTAGTGATGCCCACGCCAAATGAGTCCGAGGGCAAAGGTGCGGTCTTGGGCGCGGATGAGAAACTCGTGGGTTCGAAGATCCGTGACTTCGGCAGAGCGGGTCCATTGGACGAGCTGCCGCAGCAGGAAGCAATTCCCCTTGGACTTGCCAAAGGTGGACAACAACGAGCGAGCATGGGCTGCGCTCAGGTGGGGGCCATGGCACCACGGATCCGCTTCAAAGCTCGAGCTGGCACAGTCCTTGGCTCGCCACCAGGCAAAGTGATCATGGAAATTAAGCTCTAAGCAGGGCCGAGCAGGATCAGGCAAAGTAGAAGGATCACAATGTGAGAACGATCTCCAGTCTACCCGTACACACACACACACCCCGAACTTGTCTCGAGATGATGGTACGTACGAGCAGTAAAGTTGATGTTCATGGGAACGGCAGGCTCGTCGTCGGTGAGGGGCTTGATTAGCGGACGGCGTTTGGCGACAAGAGAATCGTACACAAGGCGAGCCGGATCGTCACCGTCGAGGCCGGGGGCTAGTGCGGGGCGACCACCTCGGCAGTCAGGGATAACGGGGACAACGGCAGCGGCGACTTCTTGGTTGTCAGGGGATGGTTCGTCGGGATAAAAGCCAAACCCCGCGAGATCATCGTCAGCGTCGTTGAGGCCCCCCGCGGCAGGGGCAGGCGATGCGGCATCGGGACGCGTGCTATGAAGGCTGTTATCGAAGAGGGCAGCGTTGGACGAAAGCAGGTCATCGTCGTCTTCCTCGCCACGGGCACCAGCTGCGTCGGTGGTGTTTGCAGTGGCCCAAGACGACGCAGCGGTTGATGTCATGGGTGAGTGCGCAGGGGTCGGGTGTTTGTGGTGGGGGGTAAGGCCCAGGCTGGTGCTACGACGTGGCGGGGGCTGTGGTTGCTGGCCGGTTGAGAAGGAAGATGTGTGTCCTTCCTGGATGGTGGAGATGTTGCGATGCGAGGCGGGGCGGGCAGTGGGGTCGTGTTGTTCGATGCCATCGCGAAGGGATGAAAAATCAAAGAGGGGGAGGGCAAGGCGAAACTTGAGTCCTGGGCGGTCTGTGGAGTAGTAGAGGATGAGGTCAATCAGGCGTTGAAAGCGAGGCTGAGCTTCAGCGACGTGGGGGATCTCAAGGGCGATGGCGCCATCTGAACTGCGGGCGAGGTGAAGGCGCTGGAGGCGTTCATGCAGGCGCACTGCCAGATTACCGCCACCCTGGGTGTCTGAGAAGAGCAGGTAGCTGTAAACGGGGGCGGTTGAAAGGATGGCGGTACACTCGCGCTTGGTCATGACGGGCAAAAAGGGAAAATCAGCTTTTGCGTTGGGCGGTGTGATGGTGATGTGGATAAAGTCTGTGCTGGCGGAGGACCATTGGGAGGTGGCGCCAAGAGAGACGGTATCAGCTCCTAAAAGGCCGTTCAAGATTGGCTGACTGTAGCTGGGGCGCAATGGCTTTGGCTTGTTGTTGGTGTCGGTCGCCATGACGCCGGAGGCGGGATTGAGGCCGTGAGGCGCTGTTTTGGACTGAAACTGTCCCATGCTGCGAGGTATCGGCTATCGCGGGAGGGCCACAAAAGGGCAGGCGCGGCAAGCGAGAAGCGCCCCGAAGCCGATGAACGGGCGGGCGATCCCAGCCCCCGGATGGAGAGGGGCGGGACGAGCAGCGGGGCGGAACCCCAGGCGACACGTCCAAGGCCCGAGTTCCCAGGGAGCCCGTGGGCAAGTGTCAGAGAGGAAAGGGGTTCAGGTCACAAGCAGAGACGGCGAGATGCAGGAGAGAGAGAGGAGAGAGAGGAGAGAGAGGAGAGGAGAGAGAGGAGAGAGACGAGAGAGACGAGAGAGACGAGAGAGACGAGAGAGAGGAGAGAGAGGAGAGACGAGAGACGAGAGATATAGCAGAGAGAGGAGAGACGAGAGAGGGAAACCAGAAGTGACGGCGGCGCCAAAAAAAAAAAAAAAAAAAAAGCGCGCGCGCTGTCAAGTAGCACGCGCCACACGGGAACGATCCCAGCGCGCTGGATCTGAGACTACGACTTCAACCCCCACCGCCTGTATCCAATGCTTTGGCAGCAAGGGGACCTGCTGGCCAACCGATCACGACCAGGAGGCACTTGAAACTCCAGTCAGTTCATGTAGACGTGCCGCTGCGCGCGCGCGAACACAGGAGAGAGAGAGAGAGCGCGCACAGAGAGAGAGAGAGAGCTTGTGAGAAGTAAGAGAGTGTGTGTGGAGACAGAGAGTATCGATCAGCGCGATGGATGTTAAGAGCGACAGCATCAAGGCGGATAACACACCCAATAGATCCAAAGCCAAATTCAGAGAAACAACCCCACAACGTCATCATACCAGAGACATTGACCTCCCCACCATGTATCCAAAGACAACATGCTTTACAGGACAAGCAAAGGCGTCCACCACCTCTTGTTGTGGTATACCACCCTTTATGTAAGCATGCCATGCTGGATACCAATAACCGCATAAGCTTACCAGCTTAGAGAGAGAGGGGGGCGGACATGAAGCTTGTCTAACATGTGGGGCGGTCGAATTGTCTGACAATAATTCAGGCATAAGGTATAAAGGCAAAGGGTGTATGTGTGTGTGGGTGTGCCAAACCATCAACAAGAAGCAAGCTTGTCCCCTAACAACCAGCGCGATCAAGAGCAAACAACGATGGGGGAGGCTGTATGCCGGGGCAGTAGGCAGGCACGTTGTAGACTTGACAGGACGCGGGCGAATGATGATGATGATGCTCATCATCATCATCCTATCTCGGTTGCTCGCTCGGCCTCGCTTTCGGTCTCTCTGGTTCAATTGAAAGGGGGACGCGTGTTTGGAACGGCGTGCGTGCGGCGAGAGACAAGTGGCAGCAGCAAACGATGCGTTTTATGGTGCACACAAGGCACAACCGGTTGGAGAAATGCCTTTGCAGCGGCTCTTTACATGGCGCCTTTGGCGTCCAGGAAGATTTGGGTCATCTCTTCCTTGGTCACAACCCCCTTCTTGTCCTGGTACATCTGTTTGGCAACCTCATAGGCATGCGCAGCCACTTCGGGCGTAAGCTGGGTGGTGGCAATGATGAAAATGTTGTAGATGTAAGGGTGAATACCGTTCTCGTAGTCCTTGATCGGCAAGGTGCTCTCCACTTTGTGGATCAAGGGAGACATTAAGGCGCCATAGAAGTCAGTCGGCAGATCCGACTCGGCATAGACGGAAGCGACCACGCCTTCGGCAATGATGGTAGCAGTGGTGGTTAAGGGCGAGTAAAAGCCATTCTGCACGACAGGCTCCACCGCCGTGACGAGGGTGGTGCGGAGGCACCCGTTCTCGTATACCACAATCGGCCAGCCCACTTCAAAGTAGGACGCAGCCACGTAGCTGCCATTGGGCAGATCTCCACACTCTGCCATGCTCTCGTTAGTGGTAAACACCAAATGCCCATGCGTGACAACCAAGCTTTGCGGCTTGCTTTGGCTGTCAATGTAGTGCAACTTCAAGAAAGGCGTCGTGAGCGTGTGCTCCACATGCATCACCGTTGTTATGGGACAGGTGGTGATGGTGCCGTCCGTGTTGTTGATGCACTTGACAAGGTCACCGGTTGACATGGACGTGAGGAGCGCACTGCTGCCGTTGGCCAGCATGAAACGGGTGTCAGCCGCAAAGCACGTATTGGCGGAGCTCGAGGATGTGCTTGAGGATGTGCTAGAGGAGGTGCTAGTGGTCGCCACACTAAATGCAGCAGCCTCGAGCTACAATGGAATGGAGCAGAGAGGCGGTACAGCAACATGAGAGATGTAGGTTACAGTTGGAGGCGGCTGCCGGCAAGGCGGAACTGCGCCTACTCGCACTCAAATGTTTTGGGATTGGGGGTGTACGCGGGGGTGGCATTAAGTTTTATTTGAGGGTTGCCCCATTTGTCCTCACGCCCCAGCTCCCTTTGACTTTGATTTGTCTCCACGTGAAAATGGTTCGGCAAACCATTCTGTTAAGATTTACGGCGCTGGGCGTGAGAGCTTGAACTCACCCGGGTCAGACGGTCACCAAAGGTCTCATTGATGATGCGATCGATGGTTTCAATCAGAACGGACTTGCGGCAGGCGGACAAAGCCTTGTTGTCCGTATAGAGGGAGACGTTTGTGCACTGGCACGATGCCATGACCGTAGTGGAGATGGTCGACACCATGCTGGTGGTGGAGATAGCAGCGACGTTGTACCCCCCAAGGGCAGCCACCAGCATCAGAAGGATGGACGCACGGCCAATCATGATGGCAGTCACAATGAGCAAAATGACTTGAAATGTCACTTACAATGACACTTACAATGACAAGATGATGTGAATTCTAAAGTTTGAATAGATTTCAACAGTTAAATTCGCTCAAGTTGGTTCAGAAGCTTATAATGATCGAGCCACGCTGCACTCGATGATTGCATTCGTGATGCAGATTTTCACTTACTAGATCAAGCCACCCGGTACCGTGGCCGAAACTCACAACTGTATTCTGATAACTCGGCACAAGACCTTGGCAATAACATCCGATGTATTATCACAACTGCACATGGATGTACATGGCGTGATCGTCCATTTCGAGACGTTGGGTTCGCGATGCCATTTATTTGCGCGACATAAGATTGACAAAGTTGAAAAAACAAAATTGTAAGACTTTTCAAATTAGAAGTCATAGCGCACACACACACACACACACACACATTTGCCATGGTTTACCTATGCAGCTAGGATATACGTTTGTGTGTGTGTGTGTGTGTGTGTGTGTGTGTGTGTGTGTGTGTGTGTGTGTGTGTGTGTGTGTGTGTGTGTGTGTGTGTGTGTGTGTGTGTGTGTGTGTGTGTGTGTGTGTGTGTGTGTGTGTGTGTGTGTGTGTGTGTGTGCATGTGTTGCATGTTTATTTGGCTCGCACATGTACAATGTCATGTTGACTCGGCCCTAACGTAGAAGTTCGGGAGGGCGGGCAAGTGGCATTTTTTTTTGAGCTCGAGTCGCAAGATCAAGACGTTCTTCACAGACGCTTTGAGTCGGACGCCTTATTGACATCAAGACCGAAACAATGGGTGCTTTGCAAAATGGCGTGTAAGTCACTGGTGCTGCCCTGCCTTGAGCGCGGCGCAATGACGCTGGGTGGCCGTTGTCTCATTCCTTGTGCCTGCCCCAACAGGATTGTTGCCGTCCTGACCCTGCTGACCATTGCAGCTTGCGTTACCGTGATGGTGCCGTCGATTCACTGGTTGGTCCGAATGCATCATGCCATGCTTGCCGACTCCCTCCCAAAGTTTTTTTTTTTTTAAAAAATAAGAAAGAATGAACACTTTTGCACTTGACTCTCACTCTGTGTCTTGGATGTGATTAGGGCTCGTGCCGAGTATCACGGCAGTTCGCTAGAGGTCAGCCTGTGGGAGATTTGCACGCCTCAAAATTGCACCAAGATTGGCCACGACATCAAGAGCTTTGCCAACATTACTCACGATTTCAAGACCAACAAGGACGCTGAACGGGATGGCGCCGTGGCTGGCCTGGCTTTGGCGACCGTTTTTGCTCTTCTGACCTACTTTTTCCTCTGCTGCAAGAGCAAGGCCTTTATCATCGTCTTTCAACTGCTGGCCACCGCCTGCGTCATGGCCACCATGTTCTGCATGTACGAGTACAAGACCAACACTCTGGACAAGGATCTCAAGAATCTGGGTGCAGAGCATGGTTACGACTACACCACGGGTTTCTGGATCACCCTCATTGCGCTCCTGCTCTCTTTCTTCAGCTTTGTCACCTCCTGGTGCCTCAACTTTCATGCGGCCTACGAGAACCTCAGTTTTGTCTAAAGCAAGGCTGTCTTTTGAGCCATTTGGGCTGCTGGCCAGCGCGGTGTGTGTGTGTGCGTGTGTGCGTGTGTGTGTCTTGATGGAATCTTATATAAAGCAGTGATGGTGTGCTTCATTTCTCGGGCCTAGGCTGTACGCCAACCAATCGATGTAATAATAATAGAATGTCATTATGGAAAAACAAACATCTTCCCTGCCCCCGTTCTCTGGCATTCTGCGATGGCAATCCCCGAGGGGTGGGTCGTCCCCTGAGCCATTGTTACCCAGCCCCAGATGGCTGGGAACACAAACTCGAGCTTAGCTGCAGCACAATCGCGTATCCTCATCATGGACGCTTCTGAGTCAAAGGTGTGTCTTCAAATACGCCCAGTAATAATATCTAATTGCATCTCTCTATCTTGCACACACACACACACACACGCACATACAAAGGCTTGTCTTGCTTGATTTGGGCGGAAACAAAACACCGCCCCATTATTATACGCCAGAGGCCTTCCAAGCGTCACGGCTATATCACTGGGGTATGGTCTCATCAAGGATCATCTGGATCCAATAGCGACTCGTTAGGGTGACGGGATCGTGCAAGAGCTGCTGGCGTTGGGGCTCGAGCTTCACCAGCGCTTCATCCAACATTTCGGCTGTGATGCGCCAGCTCTTTACAAACAGGACGGGAAAATGCCGGAGAATCTCGGTGACGCCGGTGTTTTGTTCCTGAACAATGGGAATGGCCCCCAAAGCCAGTGCCTCCCAGGTTCGATGGCAGTCTTCGCCAAATCCGGGAGGGCTGGCCACAAAGCGGTATTTGCCGTAAAGAGACCAAATCTCGTTTCGGTTCTTCCGGCCCGCAACCGGGTGACAAACGGGCTCCTTGGTCAGCTGGTCATAGATGCTTTGGCGGTTCGTATGCCGCTTGAAATCAATGACGATGCGCTTCTGGGTGGGGGCGTCAGCCGATGGCCGCATGCTGCGCAGCTCGTCGTCCTGTTGCTCGGGCGAGGCGTGGGGCAGCCCAAAGCCCTCGGTCCGCCATTGTCGACTGTGGTAGTCCATGCCCAGTGGAAGGGCACGCACGCGCGGTTCACCCACGAAATGCAGGTTTTGGCAGTACCAACGCACGAGATATTGGCTCTTGAGCAGTGCCTCGACGCGGGGATCGGTGCGCTCAATCTTGGGCGTTTGCATGGCGGTGATGAGAACAAAATACACGGCCTTGTCGTTGAGCACGGGCAGTACCTCTTTGACAAAGTCATCGAGATGACAGGGCATGATAAAGATACGAAAGGGAATACGGTTGGTGCGGTGATTCGGGTAGGCCCTGTACAATTCGAGCTTGGCCAAGAGGCCCGGAACGTGAAGGTCAAAGCTGTAATCCATGTGGTCGCGGTACTGTGGAACGGCGTGTGCGGCCGAAGCCCAGCATTTGTTCCAGACGAGAAGAGAGGCGCATGGATGGGAGCCGACAATGTGACGGCCATCGAAGGAAGGGTCAGTGTACACTTTGACACTGTAGTTCCAATGAAAATTGCGACGCAGCGTCTCGTGACGCGGGGGTTTGGTGGTGGCGGGTTGGACCTTTGGCACGGTGGGTTTGAATCCATAAGGAAAGGACATGGATTGCCGTAGTTTGGCAGGATCCAGCGTCGGGGCGCGAGGCTTGTGTGCGTCGGCGCCTTGCTGCGTCCGTACCGGTGCGGGCACGGTCGCGCGGGGTGTGGATTGCGATGTTGTGGTCCGGTGCGTCGTGGTCTGGTGCGTCGTGGTCCGGTGCGTCGTGGGGGCCACTTTCTCCTGAGTCGTGGTCAGGCGTAGGACAGTGGAGTGGCGAGTTTCGGTTCGAGAGGTGGCTTGTGGAACGCCTGCATCCACCCCTGGTGCGGGCGCCTCGGCCCGATCATCACGGGCAGGGCGCACGACAATGTGACTCTCAAGTGGCAAGTCACTTGTGATGTGGCGTTCTCGACTGTGGTAAGTCAACAGCACGTTGAGACCGGCTATCACAAGCAGCAGCAGCACCGGATACATGCACCAATGCCCCCGCCGTCCAAAGACACCCATGATGCCCGTCCTCCACAGCCCGCACGAGGTGCATCGGCAGCCCCGCCCTCAAGTACATCAGGCAACAACCTCCGCCCTCTCACACACACACACTGTCACATGGAACAACGAAATCAAATGTCAGATTAAATTTGGTGGACGCCATCTCTTCATTCTCTCTGTTGTTACATGTGGTAGTTGTGCTATTCCTTCCAGCCGTTGTTGCTCATGCCTTTCTCTCTCCCTCTCTGTAGTGTATAGTTGTATGTACAAGTGTAGTGTGTATGTGTTGTGTGGTGTGATGTTTGGCGCGCATTTCTTTCTGACAAGGTGAACTCCTCCTCCTCCTATGCATGTGCGTATGAGTGTGTGTGTGTGTGTATGTGTGATGTTTGGCTTGTTAACCCTTATGGCCCCCTATCACCCACCCGCCCCCTTCTCTTTGCTTCTTCTCTCTTGACCGCTCCCTGCCGTTTGGAGGATCAAGCGGTAAGCGCGCGTGTGTGTGTGTGTGTGAGAGAGAGAGGCAGTGGCACAGTGGCACAGTGGCACGGGGGCGGCGCCGGGGTGGGGTGTGTGCGGGCGTGCGGGGTCGTGCGGTATTGCATTTGGTAAATGCTGGTTGTGGTGTTGGTTGTTTGGGTGCCTCGCTGATTGTGATTTTTTCTTTTTTTCCTCGGCGATCCGTTTAGCGCCTGACGCAGCACGCCCCCCTTCTCACCCTTGTCTCTTGCCTTGTCTCTTGCCTTGTCAGGCCCGCGAAAGTGGCCTGCTCGAGTCATCCCTTTCCCCTTCCGCCGCTTGGCGTCTTTCCCTCGAGGTTTTGTTCCTTCCCACTTCCCTCGGAGATCCGGGTGGACACCGCCTTGCGATCGCTCGCGTGCCAAACGCAACCCGTCAACGTAAGAGTCCGCTTCGGAACCAACTCTTTGTTGTGCGGTCCAAACTCGCACGCACCAACGCCTCCATGTCCAGATCACAAACCCGGGTTTTCGCTGATGTTTCGCCTTTTCTCCGCCGCCCCTCCTGATTCGATCGTGCCCTGGCAATAGGCATGGTCAACCACGAGTGACTGCCCTTTTGTTCCCATCTTTCCACAGTGCTTTCTTGTTTGACGTCCATGAGCATGCCGTTCTTGGCTATGCAAGCCCGAGCACTGCTCGTGGCCGCTGCCCTGGTCATGCTGCTGGGCAGTGGCCCCGCTCTTGTTCAAGCCACCACCAACTGCTACTACGGAGAATTCTATAACCTCACTTCCACCGAGTGCCAACTCTGCCCTCCCAGCACCTTTAAGAGCAGCCGCTACCATCGCGACAACAACTGCGACAACTGCCCCTCCGGTTCGTCTCCTTTCTCGCTTTGATCTGGCTCCCTTTCATCAGGCAACCCAGCCCAGAGAGCAGAAACACCAGATGCCAGGCTGCAAATTACACACCCGGTCCTCGTGCCTCGACGCCGCTTGTCTAAAACAACCGTCTCATCCTCGTGCGTTCCTCTTTCCTGCGTGGCGTGCCCGTGTATATCCGGTTCTTCTTTCGAACCATTGTCACAGACAGATACTCGTCAGAATATGGTCAGCGCTATTGCTGGGCCTGCCCCGAAGGCCAGGTCCCCACCGAAAATCGCACCGCCTGCCAAGTTTGTCCTGCAGGAACCTACATTGGCAACGGTGGGTCCGATTGCAAGGCCTGCCCCCGCGGCAAGTACCAGCCCTACCCAGGCCAATCTACTTGCCTCTCCTGCGAGCCCGGCAAGTATCAATACGAAGAAGGCCAAGAAACCTGCCTCGACTGCCCCGCTGGTCTCTACAACAGCCAGACTGGCCGCACCAGCTGCAAACTCTGTGGCAATGGCCGCTATTCCCCCGCAACCGGCGCCGTAGGCTGCTTGACCTGCCGCCCGGGCAAATACCAGGGCGGTGAACAAACTCCGACCGAGTGCCTCACTTGCCAGCCTGGAACATTCATGCATTGGTATGGATACTCCTATTGCCGCGATTGCCCCGCAAATTCGTTCGCCAACTTTTCGGGCGCTTATGAGTGCCCCAGAGTCAAGGCCGGCGAAGCAGCCCCGGAGCCGGGCATGACCGAGCCCATTCGATGCCCCAATGGCACGTACAACTACCGCGTTGGCTACAGCTGCCGAAACATCCCCGCCGGTCGCGAAGCCGTCGGCTATGATCAGGAATTTAACCCTTACTACGAATACGACTGCCGCCCCGGCCACTACACCAATCTCAGCCACCCGTATCACAAGTGCGCCCCATGTCCCGCCGGCTCTTATCAGGTATGTAGACTCTCATGGCAAGGCCAAAAAAGTGAGAAAATTGAGGGCTGCTCGTTTGTCGGACGGTGACGTACCGAGTCCCAGCACCACGTCCATGCCCAAATCACGCATTCTTCGCTGTGCCGCATGCAGAGCCAACACCGCAAAGAGAGCTGCAATGAGTGCCCCGAGGGCAAGTACACGGACCGTATCCGACAAACAGCGTGTCGTGACTTCTCCGACGTGCCGGCCGGCTACGAGTTGCAAAGCAATGGCACCGCTTCCTCTGATCGTGTCTTGGTCCCATGCCCACCCAACACGTTTCGCACTGGTCGCGATGGCACCCACTCCCCATGCCTGCCTTGTCCAGCGGAAACCACGAGTCCCGGCGCTGCAGGCTACTGCACCTATGCCGCCAACGCGGCCGACTGTACGCCTGGTGAATACTATGACGGCGCCCAATGCCAGACTTGCAGCTCCAACCACTATACCACAGACAGCAACGCACACACCTGTGCCGATCAGCGGGATTGCCTTCCAGGCCAGTACCAGGTTGCCGCACCCACTCGCAGTAGCGATCGCCTTTGTGCCCTCTGTGGTCTGGGCACCTACTCGGAGTACAACAATCGGGCCTCGTGCACAGAAGCGGACATTTCGCGTGACGGTAAGTACACCCATGCTGTGCAGAACCGAATGTGCGATGTCTAAAGATTGAAGGAGAGACAGGGAGGCGGGAGCGGCGGAGGTGGGCAGGACGTGGTGGGTGCACAGCATTGCTGCTATCTGCATCCTTACCCCCCACATCACCGCTCGACCCATCCTTGTCCCTCTAGAATTTGTCGATTATGAGGGTGCGCACGAATACATGAAGGAGCGTGACTGTCTGCCGGGCTCTTATATTGCACAAAATGCCACCACGTCAACCGCCCGCGTTTGCCTCACCTGCCCCGACGGCTCCTTCACCACCCAATCCAATCGGCATGAATGTGAGCCGCACCAGCACTGTCCACCAGGGACCTACATCTACTTTCTCGGAGACATGCGCTCGAATCGCCAATGTCGCGATTGCGGAAATAATACCGGTCGAGGCACTTGGGATCACGACATGGAGCGATGCCTCCACTTTGACCACTGCGACCCAGGCTATGGCACAGTCCAGGAGCCCACCCCATCCTCCAATCGCATCTGCGCACCCTGTGTAGAGGGCATCTCCTTCAACAACGACGCCAGCGGCGACGGCGTGTGTAAACCCGTCCGCGACGTTTGTGGCCCTGGCGAAGGCTTCATTGCAGCCGCCACCGTGACCCGCGATCGGACCTGTCTGGAGTGTCCGTCCAATTCGTTCAAGACGGACGCCGGGGACCACGATTGCGTGCTGGCCACGACTTGCGGCCAGCTTGAGCGCGAGATTGTGCCCTTGACCCCCAGCTCCGATCGCGTCTGTCTGCCCGTCGAGCGCTGTATCGACAACTACAATGACTTTGGCGTGCCATGTGAGTGCAGCGAGGGCTGTCGCCGCTGTTATCAGAGCACAGACAACACCACCGACTACCTTCTCGTGCGTCGTGACGGCGCCCCAAGCGCAGATGCCACCATCAGCAACCCAATCTGTGCCCGCCCAGTCTCCAATGCCAACCCCCTTCTGACTGAAGCAGAGCTTGTTGAAAACTGTGCCGCCGAGTGTCGCGGCGATGCCGATTGCGTTGGCTTCCAGGTCTACGCCCGAGACCAGTCCGAGGAGCTTCGAGGAACGTGTTGCCTTAAAAAGTCATTTGATGAAGACGCGGCCCAGGATTTGCCCGGCATTGACTTTTATCAAATGAGCGGCTGTTGGTATTGTCACGGCGGTTACTTCCTTGATGGTCAACACTGCCAGGCGCTGTCTGACCTCCCGGAACTCGGTGACAACGAGACGTCCCTGGCGCTGCCCCTGGGATTTGGCAACCAATCTCTATACCAAGTCAACCTCACGCGCGTGCCAGGCCTCAACTACTCTTACAGCATTGTTGACTTCCAATCCTCCATCATGACGCAAGACGACTTTTACATCGACCCCGAGACTGGATCGCTCTACACACTCACCAACCTCTCCGCCCTAGGCCAAGTGATCATCACCATTCAGGTCCAAGACAGCCAGGAAGTGTGTTACATGCGCATAGACAACCGCAATCGGAAGGTGCTCTCAGGCTGCATCTCTTGGGTTCGCGTCGACCTGACCGTCACCGGCTTTTTGAGCTGCCCGGACAGCATGATCCACTACATTCCCCTCTCCCTCACCGAAGACGAAATTGTCTGGACTGAACCCTTGATTCCCGCGACGGCCACAAGCGTGGATGTATCAGTCAATACAAATCAAACCAATTTTACAGCCGGCTTCTATACGGTAAGAAGGTCGTCGTGTTGCGAGCATGTTTTTATTTACATGCTCTTTACTTTTTGTTTTTATTTTTTACCTGTGTCACTGAACCCAACCAGCGATGGTGGTCATGGGCCGATTGACATGCCTTCCTCCCGCGCCCCGTCTCACCTGTCATGCGGCTCCCTCTATCGAATAGATTCGTTACGAGACGACTCCTCTATCAAACGGAGATGTGCTGGTCTGTGAGTTTAACATCACCGCGATCAACGGCTTTCGCCAGGACCTGGATTATCTACGCTATGAAACCATTGATGCAGGCCTTGGCATTGACTACCTCATGGAAGATTCCATGTATGACCGGCGCATGCTGCGTCCAGAAGCCTTTGCCGGCAATCTAGACCGAGCCAGTTTTGCCTACGGTATTTACAGCCCTTTTGCCACGCCCTTTATTTATCGCCCCGAAGACGGCGTCAACTCTACGCTGCATGTTCGCCTCGCCTGGTGTCGAACTGGGAGCGAGCTCGTTGAGAGCGAACTCACGCCTCGCCCCGTGGACATCGTCCTGGCTGGCGTACCCTCTGTCGGCTTCACCGACCTCGGCTCTGGCGTATCGCCGGATGATGGCTGCTTCCTGATCTGGGCAATCTCCGACCCCATCAATTCGGCCATCAGCTTTCGACGCATTGACATCGAACTTCCCCTTGAAGATGCCGCTGAGAACGACGACGTTGAAAATGATGCCAACAACACGATTGCCCGTCGTGCTGTGGGTGACCCCTCTGAGTTTGATCTCTACAGCCCGGTTTCCCCCAGCGGCGTGTACATGCAACACGAGGCTTCATCCACATCAGAGCTCTCCAGCTCCCTCTTGGTTCTGGAAGACGTTCTGCCTCCCACTTGGATCGGTTGCCCCGTCGAGGCCATCACGGTCAGCATTCCCAGCGAGCAAGAGTTGGTGGCAGTCCAGTGGATCGAGCCTCAAGCCAGTGACAACATTGGCATTCTGCGTACAGAGTCCAACTTCAAGCCGGGTGACAACTTTTCCTGGGTCAGCAGCCCGTATCAAATTGTCTACACGGCATACGACCTGTCGGAGCAAAAGGCAGAATGTCTTTTTGACGTGATTGTGCAGCCAGAGTTGAGCCCTCTGCCGATCGAGGCGGGCTTTCGCGTGGCCTTTGATCGTACCGTTACCATCTCCGAGGCCTTCCCGTACGGCGATGATGAACAAGTCTTGCTGAATGAAGCAGACCCAGCTTTGACTTTTGATACAGACTTCAATGGCACCAACGCACTCGAATTGCGTATACTACCCGCCAACGATGACATCATCGAAGTTCGCCAACGTAACGACTCTCAGTTTGCCCAGGTCAGCACCGGCGACCGATCTGTGATTTGCCAAAGTTTTCAGGGCGTCTCTCACCGCTTCTCTCCCACACACTCGCGTACTTGTGCTTAAATGAACGCTTCGGCCCTGGCTCACTTTGCCTTTCCCTCCCTGACACGCACACACACACACACACACTCCCTGTCTTCTCTTCTGATTGCCCCCTAGTTTGTCTTTGAGCTGAGCTGGTCGGTGGATGGTGAGTTTCCGGATGTAGCCACTCCCAATCAGGATGCTGTGTCGGCGGACATGCAGTTTGAGCAATTTCAACGCGACGCCAGCGACGTGATCAACACAGAGGATCTGAATGACTTTGAGCTTCTGTATGATGCTCTGTGTCACGTTGATGCCACAACTGGTCGCATCGTTCTAAGCGGTGTGTCACGGCCCTTTGCGCATGGCTTCAAGTTTCAAGGCCTGACTGTGCGAATCAAATTTCCGCGCGGCGTTGCCGACGAGAATGGTACCCTGCCGGCCTCCCAAACTTGGGTTCTGGACCCGGCCAGCAAGGTAGCCCTGCGGCATCGCATCAGCCTGACGGTGGCCGAGGCTTATGATCCCGAGTTGGCCGAGCCATTTATCCTTGTATATGATGAGACCCCGCCCACGTTCTTGAGCTGCCCCACATCGGCCGTTCAGCAAGCGTTGGTTGGGGACAGCACCGCCACCTTCAACTGGAGCATGCCCATCTTCACGGACAATCGCCCCCTTGGCTTGCGCCTCAGCCAGCGCGCCTACTACCCAGATGGCCCGTATGATGGCGACGTGAATACGACCATGGTGGTACCCATCCGCGACCCCGCTTCGCCCGCACTCGTGGTCGAGTATACGGCACGCGATGAATACGGCAACCGGGAGCAATGTATCTTCACACTACGCGCTGTGGACATTGAGGCGCCCGTGGCTCTGTGCTCCAGTAACACGACCTTTGTGCTTCCCGAGGGTCGGGGTACCTATGAGATGCCCTACGCGGCCTGGCGTCCGACCAGTCTGGACAATTCCAACCTACCCGTGGCCATCGTGGAGCCTGAAGCAGGATTGGCCGTGTCAGTGGACGTGGGTGTACACAACGTCTCAGTCACCGTTCAGGATGCGTGGAACAACACGGGCAATTGCACAATGCGGGTAGAGGTGCTGGATGAGGAGGCGCCCGAGGTGCTATGCCCCTCTGACGTCGTCGTCGTGGCCCAATCTGTTGAATCGGGTGCCAATGCCACCTGGTCGGCTCCCATCGTCGTCGACAACGTGGGTGGCGCCGGTGTATCCTGGGTCGCGGACACGGCCAATGGCAGTACCTTTCCGCTGGGCTCAAGCAAGGTGATCATCAGTGCAACCGATGCCAGTGGCAACAGTGCCGAGTGCGTTTTTTCCGTCACGGTGCAACAGCCGGCGGCCTCCGCCTCGGCTGACCAGCGCGTGGTGAACGCAGCCATCAGCGGCGGTACCTTTCTGGTCGTCCTGGTCATTGTGCTGGCCATCCTCATCCGCCGTCAGATTCTCAAGTCGCGCCAGCCCGCCGACTGGGAAGATATCTTCTCCATGATTGAGCAGCTCAAGAGCGGTGCCCTCATGGAAAACGGCCCTCGCATTCCGCGCGAGGTTTTCCGTGGCCACATCAAGCTTCTGGACGAGCTCGGTCGCGGTGCTTTTGGCATCGTCTACAAAGCACTACTTGAGGAGCCTGGCATGCCGGGTTTCTTGGTGGCCTGCAAGAGTCTGCACGAGTCCAACGGTGGCGGTGCCATGCGCGAGCTACTGGAGGAGGCGGCCGTGACGGCTCAGTTTGAACACCCCAACGTGGTCCACCTCATCGGCGTGGTCTCAGTGGGAAAGCCCCTTTTGGTTCTTCTCGACTTTTACGAACGCGGGGACCTACGCAGCCATCTAATGGCCAATGCAGATGGTCTCAGTGCTGTGCAACGCGCACACTTTGCTTATCAATGCGCAGCTGGCTTGGAGCACGTGCATGGTTTCGGCTTTATTCATCGCGACATTGCCGCACGTAATGTGCTCCTGTCGAGCGACCTTACGTGCAAGCTTTCAGACTTTGGCTTGGCCCGTGAGCAGCCGAGCAGTGATGACTCGCACGAGGCCTACTACCGCATGCGCTCGGGGAATCTGCCCGTGCGCTGGTCGGCCCCCGAGGCATTGGATGATCAGAAGTTCTCTCAGGCCTCAGATATCTGGAGCTTGGGCATCTTGATGTACGAGATTTACACCAACGGCGAAATGCCCTACAAGGGGTGGAGCAATCAGCGCGTGTGGGTTGAGGTGGCATCTGGGTTTCGTCTGGCCCGCCCAGAGTTGTGCCATGCGGCTGTTTACGAGGTGATGCAGGACTGCTGGAAGTCACTGGCTGCTGATCGGCCAAGCGTGGATGCCGTGGTGGCGCAGATTGGCCGGATTCTGGAGGAGACCATGGGCTTTGCGGGTCACCTGCGCACATCACCGTTGCCCGACACCATGACAAACGCAGACACGACCAAGCGCGGCATCTTCGAATCGCTGAAGCGTTTGACGCAGACCAAGAAGCGCCGCAGCAGCAGCAGCAACGAGGGTAAGTCGCCCAATTCGAAGCGTCGCTCGACTGTGGCCACTCTTTTGGAAGACCTGCACGAGGTCTTCCACGACGAGGGTGCTGAGGACCAGTTTGAGCCCGTGTACTTGGAAGATCGGGCCTTGTACGACGTTGGTGCAAACCGAGAGATGTACGAGGACGAGGACGCGGATGATCTTCCCTCTGCCACGATGGAGGAGAGTGCACTGCGAGGCGGCCGGCGTATTTATGACAGCGAAGCCAACATGAATCGTGATTTAGCGGCCTCGGCACAGCGTGTTGCAGATCCCTCCTCTGTAGGTCGGCGCGTGTATGTTCAAGGCTACGGTGAGGGTGTGTTGCGTTTTTACGGCCAACACGAGGACCCAGCTCGTGGAACGCGGTGCGGCGTCGAGCTCGACGAGCCTGTGGGGCGCAACAACGGCACTGTCAAGGTTGGTCGTGGCTCTGGATCTCAGGCTTGTTCTCACAGAGCGTGCTGGCGCGGGTGCGAGGGGAGACAGTGGGCGTGTAACAAGTTGAGTGGCGGGGGGGATATGATCCGAGTCAAATCGAGCGTCTCACTTTTCTTCTTTTCTGCTGGGGCAATGTGCGCAGGGATATTCCTATTTTTCCTGTGCCGATCAACACGGTGTGCTGGTGGCCCCGCGCAAGGTCTCGCTGCTGGACGGCTGAGCCTGTCGGGCCTGCCTGCTGTCACACCCACCATCTTGCTTTTTATCAAACTTGCCTTTCTGAAGAGCGAGGTGCCTTGTTAGTTTTGTTTTGTTTTGTGTGAGTGTTTCTTCCATGATCATTGCTTACAGCATGGGGGTAGTTGGCCACCATGGCCCATCTGACTCTGGCGCAGTAGGGTGCCCGTGTCAAGTTTGACATTGTCTTGATTTCTGCTGTTCTCCTTTTTGTACTCCTTGGTTTCGTGTTTTGACTTTGGTGGTTTCGCTTGAGCCAACTTTCGCCCAGCTGGGATCTTGACGATCTTTGAAAGCTTGGGAACAATGTTTTTGCCTGTTTTGAATCTGGGCACCACTGCTTTCTTGACCATCAACCCTGGGCTGGACAAATTTGTGCTGTGACTTTTGTGTCCGAATCGTGGCTTGGTGTGAGACCTTGACAGCATGCTGGAATGCCTCCTGGTGAGGAGTTTCGAGGCGATGCGCAGTTTGACCAGCCGCGTAAATTCAACCCTTTTTCAAATGAAGCATTCGCTGTTGCAATTCCAAATAAGCTTGAGGGCACAGCCCCATAAGCAGGTTGAGAGGCGCACACAGCACAACGGGGTAAGCAACGCATTCGCAGACCTTGTGAGAGCGATAAAAAAAAAAATTAATGGTGAAAATCAAATCAACAGGATGAGGGGTGAGGGAGGTCCAGGAAAGTCTAATGCCGTTGCCTTGTGTGACTCCACACCCTTCGACCAGGCAGCACGTGGGTCCAGAGATGTGGTCTCTGCCATGTTTGATGTGTGCAGCGGCGACACTGTGGCACCGTAACAGTCCTGCCCTTTATTGCTGGGAGGGGGAGCTTTGCTGCTGCTCGAGACGGGCCTGGCGGCGTTGAGCAATGAGATCGTTGAGAAGCTCGCGGTTGCCCTCTTCTGTGTGTGGTACGCGCTGTTGCAGACCGGCCGAGGAGAGAAAGCAAAAGTCAAGCATGAGAACTTCAAGGAGAGGCAATACTGCTGCCGCCCATCACGGCCAAGGCGGTGAAGGAAAACACCCGTGCCGAGCAAAGCAACCTTACATTGGTATCTTTGGGAAACACACGCTCCTGTGATGTGCAGGTGGAAAGGCGGGTCAAAGAAGGAGAAGAAGAAGAAGAAAACGCATGCATAGATAGGTGAGGGGTGGTTGCAGGCCCTGCAGGTTGCAACGACCATGGGTGGAAATACACAAACCACCACCGTGTGCACTGCAGAAGGCAAGGCCAGAGGACAGCGGCCACGAGCGGGGGCGGGGGAGCGTACCGCAAAGGGCTTGACGTAATTCTCGTTAAAGTCTGGCAAGCCAAAGTAATAAAACATGCCGATGGGCACAAACATGTACATGCTCATCCGAGCCATCTCCATGACGGCACCCCCCATCGCGAACGATTGGCGAACAGGCACTTCCTTGGAACGCGGTCGGCTGCAGGAAACAAGACGGAACCGTCCAGCGTTGACTCTGTCCCGCTCACGCGCTGCCGGTCGACTCTGCAAATGACCACACAGAGACAGAGAGAGAGATGGACGGAGGGAGAAACTCAGAGAGGCGACTGAAGGAGAGAAAGAAAGAAAGGGGAAGAGAGAGAAAAACACAGAGACACGGAGGGACAGAGGCACAGATGCAGAGCCGAAAAAAAAAATCCCTCAATATCACAGTGCAAGCACACAGTTGACCAAAATCCATTTCCGAGGGTCTGTTTCAATTTTATATTTACTAGGTTAAATTTAGAGGAGTATTGTTGTATTTAATAAAGCGTAATTTTGGTTACAGTTTCGCTCACGACGCTTCTGTGGAGTGTGTGTGAGTGTGTGTGTTCTTGAAGATGACGAAGCAAATGGCAGCGCTGCGGCTACTCGGGGTCTTCATGGCTCTGGTGGGCTGCTGCTTGACGGCAGTGGCTGGCTCTAGTGGCCACAACAGCATTCGAGGTCGGGTCGTGCCCCCGGAAAACGTCAACGTGATTGACTTTTTCCTGGCGACCAAGGTGCTGCTCGATGGCGGCGCTCACGTGGTACGTCTCTCTTCACCTCCCGTCCCGTGCTCCTCATGGCGCGGGGCTGTCCGAGCCGATGGTTGAGATTGCCTGTGGGCCAGACTCATGCGTGCTGTTGACGCGCCCTCCTGCCCTGCCAGACATTTCTGGCCAAGGATGGCACCTTTGAGCTCACCGGCATTCCAAGCGCGTCCTACCTCCTCGAGGTCTGCACTTCTTGATTTACCCACCCTGCCGCTGTTGGATCTGTTCCATGCATTGCTTTCGGACTGAAGCCATTACCAATCATGTCTCTGCCCTGTGTCTCACTCATGCTCAATGCCCGTGCTGCGCGCTGCATGGGTGCCTAGGTGGTGCACCCCGACTTTTCCTTCAACGCCTACCGCGTCGACGTGGACGACCGCTTTGACTTTGGCGCCCGCGTGTTTCAGGCAGATCCCGTCGGCGGTAAGCCCCTTTGCTGCCAGTGTATATGCCCGGCCTTGGCTTAGCCATCGATCCATTGTTGCTTTTTTTGTTTTTTTGTTTGTTTGTTTCGTTGTTTTTGCTTTTTCCGTTGCAACATTGCTCATTTCCGTGCATTGTGTACAGGTTTGCCACCTGTCAAAGTCACCTACGATGAGGACGTTGGCCTTCGCGTGCCCACCACCAGTCGCACCTCTTACTTTGAGCCACGCAAGCCCTGGAACATCATGGAACTGCTGATGAACCCCATGGTAGGCCGTGCCTCACACTTCACAAGCATCCAGAATTGGTCACAAGCACATCGCCTGCATTGACTCTTTCAGCTAACATGTCTGAGTTTTCGCTCGGGCCTTAGATCTTGATGGCGCTCCTACCCATGGCCCTCATGTATCTGATGCCTTCCAAGGAGACCATGGAGGTGTGTTGCATGCGCAGTCATCCTATCTCGCCTTGAGCCATCAGAGCAACAATGTTCTCGTGTAGCTTACTCGGCACGATGCAAATCACCTTTCTCCAGGAGATGCAAAAGGAGCTTCGCCAAGAGACCGGACATGAGCCCATGGCCAACAACCTTGCCAACTTTAGCCTGGCCGAGTCCTTGTATGCTCTCGCCTGGGTTTCCTCGTGTCGACAGTTATGCTCAAACCAGATTTCTGTCCCGCGTGCTCACAATCTACCGCTTATCCTTTTGCGACAGGGCCAGCCTCACGGGCAATCAGCAGAACGGCGAGGCGCAGCCCGCTCGCAAGAACCGCAAGAAGGCCAGCCAATAGGCATGCTGTTCGTATATCGAATTTATCACCGATGAACATACCAAGCCAGCGAGGCCACCTGCAATCGCTTCAAACTCGGGGCGCACGCCCAACGCCCAAATCCCGTGAAGATCAGGTGGCCTAATTGTATCATTTGATGTCGAGATCCCTCCTGCTCATTTCCCCGGCTATTCTTCTTCTCCTTCATCGTCATCATCGTCTTCTCCTCTATTTTTTTCCTCCTTGGTATTTCTTTTTTTTTCTTTTGTGCTTTTGCTGTTTTGCTTCTCGGCGCGACGGGACTGGTTGCAATGAAAGGGGTTATAGAAGGCCACTTGTGTGCGAAAACATCTGAACGCAAAACTTGAATTGGCACTCCATGAGGCGAGGCCTGCTCATCACAAGGGACTAATGTGGTGAGAAAAATACAGGATAAAGACATAATGGATGTGCGCCCGGTATTACTCGGCTTCTGACCGCCCACTGTCACCAAGAGCGCGGCGTGAACGGCGCAAAGCCGCGTCTGCCCGATCCAGAATGGGCTGCACATGGCGGGCCTCACGATCAGTCACGACCGGTATCAGATCTGATGTGGAAATCGGTGCAGCCACGTCTTCGACTGGGCTGGCTGCGGCGGCCGGTGGTAAGCCGGCGGAAGTATGGCGCCCAGGCAATGGGGTGCTATTTAGCACATCTGCGGGCATGGGGGGCCCGTGGGCTAGCAGGGAAGCATCCGCTGGGGGGTGAGATTGACCTCGTACAAGCCGCTCTGAGCGCCGACGGTCGGCCTGCTCCACCTCGTCGCGCAAACCATCGCATGCAACCTGCAAACGCAGCAACGAGTTTTCCAAGGACCGCTCGCGGGGGGATGTGGGCCACTCTGGGGGTTCTGTACTGGCTGTGCGCCGTGTCATGTGACGGCGACGAGGCGTGCTGCTCAAAGGAGTATCCGCATCAGGGGCCTCAATCTCTCCGCGGCTGGGCGTGCCCACTGACCGCGTCATACTGTGCTCTCGTTCGCCAAGAAAGGAGCTAGTTCGTAAAGATTGGGAAAGATCCGCCCGATCGGTAGGAGCAGATGCGGAGCCAGCGTGGCGGGGCTTGAGTGGCGTGGCCCGGTGCGATGCTGCGCGTCGCAAGGGCCGAACAACTGCGGGGCCAAACACTTCAGCCAAGGCGTTGTATCGGTCGAGGTCCGCCAACTGCGCGCGAGGTGTTGCAGTGACAGAATCCATGCTTTGGCCATCCGGATAGTTGGTGAAGGAGCGGGTAAAAGAAGACGACAGTGATGATGCCACTGAAGAGGGTCCAAGTTCGGGATCCTTTTGATTGACAGAGGTGGTGGCCGGGGGGGAGGCCGAGTCGTTGGTCTCTGCCGTGGCGCTGGTAGGAACAGCTGTCCGAGCGCGGGTGCCAGCAAGAGATGGAGAGGCACCAACGGCTGCACTAGCAAGATTGGGTAGACGGCCAACAGCAGTAGACAAGGCCGATGAGGGTGACACGCCCTTGGAGGGCACAAAGCGGGGTTGACGATCCCCATTGGAGAAGAATCGCGACAGCACGCCCGGTTGCCCCGCTGGACTGATATCATAGACGGTGTCATCGCTCGCAAACCGCACTGAGCGCTCCAAATCAGCAACCAGCGAACCCCGTTGCTCGCGCGACGTCTTCAGAATGCTGTGTCGCAGTGGGGACTGCATTGCATCGTCGCTGATCGCGCTTTGCCGGAGAGGCTCAACCTCGACCTCTGATGCAGTCGGACTTGTGGCTTCGAGCTCGCTCAGCGATACCGGTCGGAGTGAGCGCGCACTTGGCTTGTGGGCCTGCTGACTTTGTTCATCGGCCGATGCTCTTGATAGGGTCGTTGCTTCTCTGCGTGAGACGGTGTGGCTCGCACTGATGCTAGTGGCAGGTTGGGTGGCTGCTGTGGCCGTATCATCTACGGGTGGCGTTGGCGGGGATTCGGAGGTGGGTGTCTCGAGCACGGGGCGAAGAGCTTCACGGCGTTCGGCTTGGGTAGCACGCTGCGTGGCCATGGCGGCATGGCCGGCTTGGCGGGCACTGGAGCGTGGGTCAATCGGAAGGGCCGGAAAGGTGGGTGGCCGTAGCCATTCGCTTGGCACGGCTGTAAGATCAGGGAAGCGCAACACGTGCTGTTGGTGTTGTTTGCAAAAGTGATCGTAACGCTGTCGCAGCTCACGAATTTGGTCTTGGACTTCAACGATATCTTGATCAAGGGACACGCGATCTTGAGCATGGGGTGAGTTGCTGAGGCTGGTCAACCGATCGAGCGACTGGCGGGCCAAAAATGCCTCGGAAACGACCTCGTGAAGTTGCTGGAGCAGCTGGCCCAGGTCGAAGCGCAGTGCCATCAAATCGATAGCACCAGTGGCCGTTGTGGGTAAATTCCTTGGGTCGGACTCAGCGGCGATGCTACCTGAGAGTTCATCCCGGGCCCGTTGCGCGGCACTAGTGGGCCGATGGGGCGGTAGCTGACGGTCCTGGGGCGTTAGCTGAAGGTCCTGGCCGATCGTCGTGGGCTTTGTTGCCAAGTGAACGCGGCTATCTTCCTGCTGGTGGCATTGGGAACGCCAATAGTCGATTTCCTCTTGCATGCGTTGCGTGCGTGCGCTGTCGTCTTGCTCGTGGCTTGCCATTTCTTCACGGAGCTGATTGTAGCTGTCTGCCAGGGCATTGTAGTCCTGGACCAAGAGGTCGTTTTCCTGTATGCAGCGTTCGAGCCGATCCTCGGTGGCCGCGAGCTGGTTTTCCAGCTCCCCACGCGCTTGGTGATTGGCTTCGTGGGTTTGGGCTTGGGCTTGCAGCTCACGGCGGCAAGCATTGAGTTCGTTCTCCATGTGTAGCATGTTCTCTATCAAGCAAGAGAGTCAGTGAATGAGCTTGGAAGGCAGCACGAACAAAGGGGAGATGGAAGAGCTGTTGTCAATCATTTGAGATCTATCAAAGCCCAAGGGTCGGCTACGCATATAATGAAGCAAAGCGGATCACCACGCCTGTACCTCGGGCGCGCGTCGCTTCGAGTTGCGCTCGGCGGGTGGCGGCTCGGGCTTGCTCGAGATCATATTCATATTGCGAGCGATTGATGGCATCATCCTCGACATCGCTATCATCAAAGCCGGTCCCATTTCCCTGCACAAGCTTGAGCGTTTCGATGGTGCCCTCGGCTCTATTATGGCGGTGTTGCGACGGATGAGGGAGGCCCGATGTTGAGTGCAAGTTGTGAGATGATCAAAGACCCCCCCCAACTGATGCTGCAACTCACGTGGCATGACGTTTGAGAAGGTCGTCGTAGGCATCTTGGAGCTGGTGGGCGTAGGTAGGCGCGCGCATGGCCGGACGTGGCACTGCATGACCTTGTGCTGTCAAGCGCACGCCGTGCCCATGGCCATAACCATGGCCGTGGCCAAAGCGATGACTTGGTTGCTGAGCTTGCTGCGCAGCCCGTTCAGCTTCTGCCTGCGCTTCGCGCTGTGCCTCCAGCTCCTCCTCGTCCTGCAGCAACGCCTCCAAATCCATTTTTGCCACAGTGCAGCAGAGCCTTGCCACCACCGAGCTGCCCCAATGACCCACACCCGATGCCAACCCTCTTCTTCAGGGGCCAATGAATGGACCTGGTCGTCTTCGCCCGCCGAGACACACACACACACACACTCCGTCTTTCTCTCTCTCTCTCTCTCTCGTGAAAAAATTTCGTCAAAATTTTCAGAGAGAGAGAGAGAGGGAGAGAGAGAGGGAGAGACGGGTGTTGTAGATGACTGTTGTGGTGTTGTAGTTTACTGTTGTGCTCTGTGACCATCAGAATGGCACGCGCGACAGTCGTGACGATGGCGGTGGTGGTGATGGTGGTGGGACTGCCGGGCTGGAGGGCTGGGGCTCGGCCACTGGCGACGTGCAGTAGCGTGTCCACGCGGGCAGACTGTGGTTATGCTGGGATTACGGTTCAGTTGTGTGAGCAGCGCGGCTGCTGCTACGACCCGGCCCGGGCGCCTCTGTCGCCCCTTGGGGCGCACTCTGAGCTCGAGTGGGCCTTTATGGATGCTGCAGAGAAGGATGCCCCCTCGTGCTTCTACCCAGGCGATGCCGTTACCATTCGCAAGGTTCATGTGGTCCAATCAAACCACTTTGATGCTGGTCGGTTCAGCCAACGTTTGCTACTCGTTTATCCGCTGCGTGAGCTTGTGTCGTCATGCTTACTGAGCTCGGCTCCACCCGCCGTCCCCTTCATAGGTTATGCTGATCTGACGGTTAACATTGTGAACGAATACTTTGATACCTACTTTCCTCGTGCTGCACAAGTTGGCGCCGCGCTTGCTCAGTCCAACAGCTCGGCCCAGTTGCGCTGGCTCACCCACAGCTACCTGGTCTGTGCGCCGGTTTCCATTTTTGCTCGTGACAACTTTGCTTAAACCCACCCATCACGCCTCAACCATGCTCTGTCTGCATGCTGACCTTGCGCCTTGCCTGATACGTTGCAGATTTCCCTTTACTTTGATTGTCCGGCCAATGCTGGGCTGCATTGCCCCAGTGAAGCCAACAAGACATTGGTGGAAAACGCCATCCGCGCCGGCTACATTTACTGGCACGCTCTGCCGCACAACCTGGAAACGGCCCTCCTGACCCCTGAGATGCTGACATTTGCCATTCGCATGACCCACGACCTGGACGATCGCTTCAACGTGGTATGGCGGCATTGACCCCGGCTTCCCCTCCCCTCCCCCTGCTCCTCACCAAAATATAAAACGCTGTGGGGCCAGAGGCAGCAGGTCATTCCTGCGCTTCCTCTTCTCATCCCACCTCTGCCCCCGGGGCACCCTTTACAATCAGAGTCACAAGACGGTTTATTCCCAGCGAGATGTCCCAGGCATGACTCGAAGCTTGATCCCTGTCTTCGCGGCTAATGGTCTCAAGGGCGTGAGCGAGGGCAGCAACAGCCGCGTATTCCCCGGTGAGCAATCGGACCTAAGCCTGCCTGTTCCCTCATCTGTCGCGTGTGATATGAGGCTTTAACCTGCGGTTCTCTAATCTGTTTGCGTATTACACCACAGTCAACGTGCCTCCGGCTTTTCTGTGGCGTGATGTGGCCACTGAAACCGAGATCATCGCCCTCTGGCACGCTTACGATTATGGGCAACTACCCTCGGCGGGGGACAGTTCGCCTGCTCGAGACTATGTTGTCGTTCCCGGGCTTGATGAGGTGTGTCTGGACAAGCAATCTGTTTTCCTCTTTTGAACTTCGACTTGGCAACCGCAGAAAGCTGCGCGGACCCGTGGAGATAAAACGATACGTGACTGTGGCATGACAAAGTCTTATGACTGCTGTACCCATCATCGTCTTGACCATCAATAGGCCATCATCTATGCTTGGCGCGGGGACAACGCGGGTCCACCCATGAGTACCCTAGAGGTGGAGAGCAACTGGGCTGAAATTGCTGCCATCTTTCCAGGCGCCGAGGTGCGTTGCATATGTGTGTGTGGTGCTGAGCAACTCAAAGAAGAAAGCGTCAAAAACTGGCGCCGGCCTTGCGCTGCTTTGCTTCTTCAGCTAACGCTTTGCTCTTTTCTTGTTGCTGACATGTAGATTGTATCTTCCACACTCGACGCATACATTGACGTCCTCGACAAGCACCGTGACAATCTGCCTGTCATCACGCAGGACCTGACAGATACTTGGCTTATGGGCGTGCCTTCAGACCCCATCAAGACGGCTGAGATGCGTGCCATTCATCGAGTACAAGGTGAGCTCGTGTTTGCTTTGTTTTTGCTTGCCTTCCTTGACATGGGTAAGTTTGAGAAGAAAGAGCCTCATCTGGCAGGGTCCCGGCTATGCTTGCAGCATTTTGTGAGCGTGCGCAAACGTGTGACTACTCAACCGATGCCAAGCTGTACGACTTTTTGCGTCTGGCCATCAAGAACAGTGAGCACACGTGGGGTCTCCACGTGCAGTCTTATGGGCCGTACCAGGACCACGGATATTCCAACGCCGAATTCCACGCCGACATACTGGCTGGCAATAACTCGTACTACACCACCCTGGCCAGCAGTTGGACCGAGCAGCGTAAATTCGGTTTCGACTTGCCCCTAGCTGCGCTGCAAGGATCCCCGGTCGAGGCAGCGTTCCGCGAGGAGCTGAGGGCCGTGCCTGCGCAGGCGCCCAGCTTGGCGGGATTTTCGCCCGTGGCAAACCTGTCGCTCAGCAAGGTTGGCGGCTGGTTGACCATGCGCTTTAGCGCTGCTAACGGTGCCCTCGTGGCCTTGTTGGACGAGACAACGGGCACGACCTTTGCGGACGATCAACATCAATTGGGCACACTTTTGTACCAAACCTTGACGGACGATGACTTTGCCTCAGAGCTGCGAGATTCGTACCTGCGCGCGGGAACGGGAGGCGAAAATGAATACGGCAAGCCGGGCTGCAATGAAAGCCAAGGTTGTGTCTCGCAAAAGGCTTCTCCCAATCTGCAAAAGATTTTGTATAACGCCGAGCAAAGCGCTGTCATTGTACAGGTGTGTTTGCAAATGTTGCTTTTGTTGCAACTCGTGATTGAAGCCAGCGCAAAGCGGACTCAAAGGAGAGGCGCGCTTGCTGGGGCCTTTCTCTTTTTTTTTTTTCCTCTCTTCTTTTTTTTTTTCAAAAAGTTTTGACGGGGATTCTTGGGCCATTGTTAGACAACTTTTGCCGAGGAGCTGCATACGGCCTTTGGTGCGCCCAGCTCCGCCTGGATCGTGTACAACGCGTCTCGAAATGGCGTACTGACGTCGAGGGTACTGCTTTTCAACAAGACGTCAACCCGTTATCCCGAAGCCCTTTATTTTGGTTTTGATCCCACGGGCAACGATGTGCCGACTGGCAGCGACATCTGGGTCATGGACAAACTTGGTCAGCTGGTGGATGTAACCGATGTGGCCATGGGCGGCGGCCGTGGCCTGCAAGCTGTGCTCTCTGGCGTGACCTATCAGAGTGCCCAAGGTTCGTCCATGTCTCGGGCTCAGCTGGCTATGGCGGACGACGGCTTTCATTTATTCGCCTTGTGTTTGATTTAGAGAGCGTGCGCATGTTCATTGAAACGGTGGATGCGCCCATTGTAAGCTGGGGTGGCGCAACTCCATTTCCTACGCCGTTGGTGGATTCTCCTGACCTGAGCTTGGGCGCCAACTTTCTTCTTTTGGCCAACCCATGGAATACGTATGTCTTTTTTTCGGGGCACCGCTTTCGTGAAGAGGGGGTATCACGAGCGACGCATGCCAGACTTGGAGGAATGGATAAATAAACGGGGTGCAGGGCTGGCGGGCTCACTGCTGTTTGGTGGTTCCATGGCTCACTCTGGTTGACTTTCCGCATCTTGGTAGAAACTATCCCTTTTGGTTCCCATTTGTCAATAGCACTGAGAGCCCCCGGGGCTTGTACTGTGACTTGCAGTTTCGCTTTGCCTTACATCTGCATTAAAGAGCCGACGACATGCACCCTTGTACCGTGCTTGCTGCCAAACCCGTCTCGTCCCTCGTGTTGTACGTTAGTGTTGCTAATTCATACACCCAGATGGGAACAAAAAAAAAAAAAAAGGTTAGACACTGGCTTGAAATCAGATCAGAGCAACCGTCATTGTCCTCTGAAGACCCCCCCACACACACACACACCTGCTTTGACTGCCTTCCATCCAGCCACACCTCCGTCCTTGCCCGCTCTGTCTTCCCCTCTTTCCTTTCTCAATGAACACACACACACACACACACACACACACACACACAAAGAAAATCAAGAGAGAGAGAGAGTGTGTGTGTGTGTGATGTTGTGTGATGTGTCGCACTTTACACCTTCAGGTCAGTGAGTGAGGTGTGGCAAGAAAAAGCATTTGAAGCGCGTGCGTGTGCGTGTGAAGGCGCGTCCCCGTCCTTCTGGGGTCGTGCTGCCTGAAGTGATGATGCGATTTGATAGAGCGTGGATTTGAGACGGTATCTCTGACAGGAGTCAGCAAGGAAGCTGGGTCCAGATGCATGAGACACTGTGCGCAGCTCATTGAAGTTTGGTCATGCAGACGGACGCTTGTTTTTTTTGCAGAAGACAACTTCACGCCATGGCTACCAGCGACGTCAATGAACCCAGCGCTTCGCTGAGGATTGATCACCTGCCCGAGACGGCCACGGAGAGCCAGCTTGCTGAGCTCTTTGGTGCCATCGGTGACTTCAAGAGCATCCACATCATCCGTGACTCCATTTCGAACAAGCCGTTGGGTCACGGTTACGTCAATTTCGAAGATGTTGATTCAGGTGCGCATACCCTTGACATGTGCTTGGCGAGGGTCAGCGACTGAGGCAATACGAAAGAGCTGTCTCGTTATTCCCAACGCCTCTTCCAGCTCGCCCTGGGGTGACTGCTTGTAACTCGCTCAGACTGAATAGCAGGGGGAGACAAGACATAGAAAAGCGATTGCTAGTAGTCCGACACCATGCCAATCGCTTCCCACAGGGGGGGGCACCGCACACCGCATCAAACTCACCTACCATATGCCGTGCTGCCATCCTGCAGCCATTGAAGCGATCAAGGTGCTGGATGGCATGGATCTCACTGGTGGGAACGATGACAAGGGAATCTCCCTCTCCTTCACCCCCTCCCAGCCCGCCTCGTCTGCTGCCAGCTCCGGCACTCTTTTTGTCAAGAACCTGGCCGAAGACGTGGACAATAAGGTTTGGCTCCCTTGCCCTGCCCAGCAAAAAACGACACGTAGTTTGTGCAAGCCCTGCACGCTCATGCCCCTTGTTGCGTGCACACACCAAAGACCATCTTTGATACTTTTGCCAGCATTGGTGCACCATCCTCGGCCAAGGTGATGACGACTGCCGAGGGCAAGAGCCGTGGCTTTGCAATCGTGCACTACGATGACCCGCAGTTGGCGCAGCGTGGTAAGCCTTTTTTGAACTTGTTGCATACTCATGATCCCAGCCTCGCTCTCCCGCCAATGCTTATTAGCTGACACCCCAAACATTCTGTAGCTCTCGACGAACTAGAAGGTGTCGTCGTCAACGGCAAGAACATTCGATTGGAGCGTTATCAAACGGGTGCACAGCTCAAGGAGGAGTCGCGCAAGCGCACCGTGTATCTGGCCGGTCTGCCCCACGAAGTGACAGACAAGCAGCTCATTGATCTACTCTCACCTTTTGGCTCCGTCATCTCCGTCAAGTTGTACCCCAAGGACAAGGATCGCAACCCTGTCGCTTTTGTGACCATGGAAGATGAGCAGGCCGTTCTGCGTGCCGTCGAGAAGCTCAACGGCGGCTCTTTCGAGCGCCAGCGTATCACCGTTGCCCAGCTCCAAGCTCGCAACCCTGCAACCCAATCCAGCGGTCCCACCTCAGCACGCCAAGTCGAAGAGACCAAGGTTTGTGCTTGCTTCTCACTGTCTCTCCCACCTTTTTTTTTTTTTTTTTTTTTTTTTTTTTTTTTTTTTTTTTTTTTTTTTTTCAATCGTCATTGCATGGCCGTGGCCGTAAACGGCAGACGCATGATGCGCGTTTGTTGTCTCGTCTCCATCTGATGGATGGCTTGCTTTGCTTCATTCTCTTTTGAAGGATGCCACGCTGTATGTGCGCAACATCTATGAAGATGTTCAGGACAGCGACCTTTCAGAGGCATTTGGCGTGTTTGGCCCGGTTTCGCGCGTCACAATTCCTCGCTCTGCCAACGGTGACACGCGTGGCTTTGGTATGTTTCAAGCCCTGTTTCAAATGTGAAGGTCTTACTCCTTCATGTTCCTCTGCATCATCTTGCTTGCTGTGTTGAGCTGACGCCCCACTCACATCAACCAACTCGTTGTAACATTAGCCTTTGTGGTATTTGAAAACCCTGAGGACCGTGCGCATGCCTTGGCCGCTGGCAACATGCTCGAGGTGGGCGGTGGCAAGGTGCAGTATTCGGCCTACCGCACAAAGGAGGAGCTTCAGAATATGTCTTCCTTTGGCATGCGTCCCAACGCCGGCGCTCCAGCCGTACGTACTTGCATTCACGCCACCCGGCTCTCAAAGTGTTCTTTCCAGCTCTGTGTCAGATCAGGGTACACACCTCACGCGCACAATGACGCGCACAATGACACACCAATACGCAGCCACAAGGCTTTTACGACCCTAGCTTTGGCATGGCCTCTCCATACTATTATGGCCAGCCCTCTGGCCCCATGCCCGGTATGGAGGGAGCACAGATGCCTGGTGGTACGTGGCTGGAAGCATGCTGGGACCACTGGCCCGATTCCAAAGACATGTGTGGCCCTCGACTAGCTCACCTTCCTCCTCTGCACTGCCTGGCTGATCCGTCGGCCCACCTTAGGCGCCATGTACATGCCACCCCAATACTACATGACCCCGCAAATGTGTACGTCTGATCAAGTGATACTTGAAAGTGGGCTTCGCAAGTGAACCGCTCAACTCTGCATGTCCATTCGCTGTGATCCACATCAATAGACGCGCAGCAAATGTTTTGGACGCAGATGCAGCAGCAACAACAACAACAGCAATTCCAGCACCAGCAGCAGGGCCAGCAACCAGGACAGCAAGGCATGGTGCCTCAAGGCTATCGCTACCCGCCTCAAGCTATGGCGGCCCACATGCTTAACGCACAAATGGCCGACATGACTCTGCATGGCCAACCAGGCCAACCCGCAGTGTCCTCCCCGACAAGTGGGCCCAACTCTCCCATGCACGGTGTACCTGTGCATATGCTGCCCTCGGGGCAGATGCAGCAAGGACATGGCCAACAGCACGGCCAACAGCACGGCCACGGCCATGGCCACCACCGCCAGCATCACCGGCAGGGTCACCACCAGCAAGGAAATCATCATCATCGCCATCATTCGCGGCACCACCAGAACCAAGGGCAACAGCAGCAGCAACAACAGCAGCAGCAGCAGCAGCAGCAGCAAGCTACGGAGCAGGCTGGTTCGAAGAAAGACGGCAAGACAGCGGCTTGAGTGTTTGACGTTGAAGAGCGTGCGCAATTCGAATGCGCACGCCTCCAAAAGCAGTTCAGGCTTGGATTAAGCCACCTTCACTAAGTGGCCCCAGCTCTAAGCATGTGTAGGAAGAGAAGGGGTGAGCGGACAAATGCATAGCACTCTCTGCCTCGCGTATCAAGGACAGGTCAGAGGAATGCAAGGTGTTTTCGCTCTCTGAGTGACTCGCAATCAAACTTTGGGATTGATGACTGCTACTTCAAAGCTCAATTCAAAAAACAAAAACAAAAACCTTCTCTCACAAACAAACAAACACCCTGCTCATGACGCAAACACCATCCCTCTGACTCGATCGATTAATGCGCAAGCATGCCGTGTGCATGCGCCGCCAATTAAAAACATTGGCGTCGTCTCCGGTCTCGATCTGACTTGGTATCACAGCCCACGCCGTGCCGTGTCCCGAAAGATTGAAGTGTTGTGTTTGTGTTGCAGCGCAATCGATTCTCGCGAATAGACAAGCAAGCAAAGGGCAACATGCTGTCAGCTTTAGGCCGACTTTTGACTCAACAGAGCTTTGGCGCCGATGCCACCAAAAACCTCGTCGGGCACAGCCTTCTCCTCAATGTCGACATCTGAGAATGGCGTCATGACACACGCAAGGCCAATCGTGAGCGATACATACATAGCAAAAAGGACCAATCGGGCTTGGCGCTGACAAAGAACTGCAATACATACTATTGGTAGCAGTCTCGGTTGCATTTCCATCTTCTTCTTCGTCGTCGTCGTCGTCGTCGTCAAGGTCGATCTCGTCACGGTTGCCCGCCGGCGCACCACCAGCCTGATGGAGATCAGACCGATGCAAGAATGAGCCTGGTGGCGAACAGAGGGACAGCCCTAGACCAAAATTGCAGCCGGTAGCCTACCTTGACAAAGGCCGTTTGCTGGGGAGCAGCACGGGCAGCTGCTTCCGATTCGGCGGCCGCCATCGCGTTGCCACCATCCCGCAAGGCACGGGCAGCCTCCTCCGCTGCACGAAACACGTTGACGTTGGAAGACGTGTTGCTCTGAGCGGCGACCGAGCGCTTGATGCGCAGCATTTCGCGGTAGGTGTCCTCATTTCCGTGGCGGACCTAAGCGGGCGCGAGTGAAGTGAGATGCATGACGCGATTGCTCACAGGGCAAAATTAACTCATGTAGCCGCCTCAGAATGCTTGGTGCTCAACGGGACAGATCAGTCCATTGACAAGGCAGCCTACCTCAAAGTCTTCCCAAGCGTCCCAAAACTTCTTGGCGGACTTGGGCTCACAGTACTGTGAAGTGTGTGAGTAAATGGCGCGTGCGCGATCCACCTCGCCGAGCTTGGTCTCCAGAGAAGCAAAGTCCATGGCCATGGCTTGCATGTCCTTGTCTAAGACCGCGCCCGACAAACGTAGAGCCCGCACAGGCCACCCAAAAAAATTAGTCAGAAAGCAAACGATGCGCAGTTCTGGATCTTTCGCATCACACGCAGGCAGCGACTGTGAACGGCGCAACAAACCAGACAAAAGAGTGTCTTCAAGCGCGGCAACGAAAAGCTCGCGGGTGTAGACCACGCCAAAAAGGGCCGCAGCACGCTTGATGTACAGCTGCCACATCTCGAAGCGGTCCTCGCTGGGGACCTTTTGTGTAGCTCGCTGATACACGGCCATTGCATGACGGCCCAATCCATATTTCTATCCGATAGGGGTGACAGGCCATCGCCAGGGTTTGGAATCAGCACAAAGCGTTCCGAGCGTGGTGCCTCACAACAGCCGACAACATGGATGGGCGAGGGTCGCCTGAATAACGTACCTCCTCAAAGTCTGCATACATGAGATAGATGACCTTGGCAAATTTGGCAGGAATATTCTCAAGGCATTGCTCAAAAAGTTCACGAGTGCGCTCGAGCTTATCGCCGCCCTGACCAATTTTGAAACGGGATACCAGGGGGGTACGAACAAATTGAGTGAGTCCAAGCAGACAGAGGTATGGTCTGGCGCTGTATATGATGAGGGGGCACGATTGTTGTTGCGTCAAGGCCTGGACAAGGTGGAGTTGACTCACGTAGCGCTTGATGAACTTGGCAAGATAGGTGTTCCAGATTTCAAAAACGATGGGCCACTTGAAGAGGGCTACGCCGCGCTCGTAGGCCGTGAACGCCTCCTCAAAGTATTTGTTTTCTTCCAAAAAGGTTGCAAAGTTGATGATAACCTGTGGTGTGGCCACGCGGAGCTCGAGCATGCGGTTGTACACGGCTTTGGTGCCCTCGAGTGTGCCGATAGACTCCTCAAGGTCGGCATACATTGACCACAGCTTCAAGCTCTTGTGCACACGAGCCTGGACCGAGGGTCGACCAGACTCATCCACCAGCTGCTTCTTGGACGGCATTGCTGTTGCTCGACGAAGGACATTGACAGCACGCTGAAAATTCTTGTGGCGCAGCTCCATCTCGGCATACTGACACCACAGCTCTGCCAAATCGTCGACCTATGCGACGTGGAAAGGAGCCAGTCCCATGCACGTATTCAAGAGTTAGCGCGGCCGAACGAGTTTGCCTGGCCACACAACGCAGTGGATGGACCGTGCGACAGGAGTGACACGTATATCGAGCCAACATACTTTGCGAAAGGGCTCCTGAACACCCCGCTCGTACACCTTGCGCGCCTCCTCAAGCGAAGTGGCCTCGTACAGGCGGGCAAACTCGACCCACAGCGTGTGCACCTTGCCTGCATACAGAGATGCGGTAATTAGTGACGGCGCCGCCCAATCGTGTGCGTATGCACGCCATGTGTTACCATAATGTATGACAATTGCCAATGCAGAACGAACGAACCAGTGGCCTTGCTGGGATCGACCGTCTTGACGGCATCGCGATACGTCAGGATCATTTCGGAGGGCTGACTGGAGAAGAGGGCAACGCGCTTGTGCCACTCGTCCACATTGTGGGGGTTTTGGCGCAGCAGAACACTGCTCAGCAACAGGGGTCGGCGCTCCATGAGCTGTTCGTAGCGCGCCATGCGCCACTCGACCTCCTCGTTACCTAAATGTGGGTGGAACGACAACAAGTTTGCAAGTATTGAGGCAGGAGGGGCAACGGGACGAATGAGCCCCATTTGACGCTGCTTATGTCATCTAAGGCTGTTACGCAAAGGCTCAACGCAACCAGCAGCGGTAAAGAGGACGTACCATCAAGACCCTCTTCGCCCATTTGCTCCATGAGGGCAGTGAGAGACTGCTCCTCGAATTCAGCATAGGCTTCGAAGACCTGACTGAAATCGCGCACGGTCTGCACGGTCTGAATAGCCTCTTCGTAGATGTCCCGGGCCTGACGGCAGACGGAGAGTGCCCCAGGTGAATATTTGTTCAAGGACCAGGGAAAGCAGGCATAACTGGGTAGGGCAGCCGTTGACTAAAAATCAGACATGTGCAAGTTTGTGTTGGTGCGACAAGGCCCACCTTCTCGAAGCTGCCACGGCGGATATGATACGCCGCCAGCGCGCACCACAACTGGCCAATCATGTCTGAGAACTTGCGCAAGCCACCGCGAATGATTGGCTCGACCTGCACAGATCTGGGGGTGAGGTGCAACGACGGCACATGCTGTACTTGGGCAGGTGCAAGCGGCTGCCAAGGGAGGCGGGCTGGCGCAGTGTGGGTGCAGAGAACCAAGATTGTGCGTGCCGTACCTTGATGTTGCGAACACCATCGGGGTGCTCACTGACGAGCTGACAGAGCTCCAGCCAGAGCTGGTGGTGTGATTTACCCTGCTTGCTCACGTATTTCTCCTTGTTGAGCACCTGAGTGGGACGTGTGAAACAAAGGAGAAGTCGCATGTTGTGAGAGCCCCGGCCCAGCCAAGTGGTTCATGCGTCTTTGCGTGTGCATGACACAAAAGGGAAACACGGGCCAGCATGCTTAACACAAGGTAGTCAATCCACTTCAAGTGCCAACGTGTTGGTTTACGCACCTCAATCAAAATGGCAGCAGCCTCTTCGTAGCGCTTGGCGGAGACGAGATAGTCGACAAACTCCTCGGCGTCATTTGGCTCAATCTAGAGAAAGCACAGGCACGAGGAGCCACACCGAAAATGACAATCCGACGTGCCTTTGTCCCTGGTTTATGCTTCAAGACGTTGGAGCACACGGGCGTCTGGCACCAACCATGAGGTAGCGGCGATACACGCGGCACGCAGTCTCGGTGGGAATGTGAGGTTGTCGCACAAACTGCCATATAAAAGCATGGGGCGAAATGGAGGAGTGGTACTGAGAAAGCATCGTGCCGGGGCCAAACGAGCGAATTGGAGGGCGGGTTGAAAGAAGCATGAGCCGGTCGTGAGGGATTGATTGCCAAACCTTGAGGTAGAGGGGCCAGATGCGGTGGTGTTGAGTGATGGGCAAAGCTCGAAGACATTCGTCAAAGGTGCGACGCGTTTCCGTGATGAGGCCCGACTCCATCATGAGTTCGAGGTACTCGATCCAGATGCGCGGCATCTGACAAGTTTACATCCACCAGAAAGTTGCCATCGCCAAAACAGAAAGGAATGAAAAAAAAACGAGCGAGTTGCGTGGAGGGATTCAACACGGCTGAAAGGGGGGCAAAGCAGACGGCGGACTACCTTGTGCATGAAAACCATGGCGCGGCGGAAAGTGTCGTAGGTAGCTCGGCGTGCTGGGTCGGTGGGAGCCACGGTAGCGACCAGGGCCTTACGCTCACGCAGATAGCGCACCCAGAGCTTGAAGCTATTGCAAAGCA